GTAACCATGTTGTCAACATTGGGGAGGGGGACCAAATCCTCCAGGGGGTCCCCCCCCAGAATTTTTTTCTTAATTTTAAAACAAATTTCCTGCCATTAATATAAAAAAATTCACTAACACATGGGATGAACTTTTTTTTACAATAATGTCTAAGAGTGTATTGTAATACATTGCTCAGATTTTTTTTTCTTTTCTCGTTTCACTGTATGTAATGGCAGAGATTAGGGATAAATAAAGTACGACCATAACCACAATCATATCAACAGAAATCCATGCATTGATTTATATGAAGACAAGTCCAGACATTGTGGCCAAGGTTGAGCAAATTGTTGTTTTTATTCACATAGCATAGCAATTATTGTTTAATATTGTTTATAGCAATATATTGGGGGGGGGGACATTTTGAGCATATTTGAATATTATAATTACGGCCTTGGTGCGCACACCGATCACGTTGTTTGTATTGTTTGTCGTCGTAACGTGTGTCACCTCGTGTCCCTACTGGAAATGTGTGAAAAGAGCTTCCGAGCTCATCGGATTCTCCCAGTAACAAATACAAATTCTGGTTCAGATGTCTGTTAAATGAAAGCATCGTTAACATCTGCACTGATTAACACCACGCGGGCCTGCAGGCTTTAATCTCCCCAGTCTATACCCACCACGCACAAAGACGGTGGAGGAGTGGGCAACAGACAGGAGACACAATGGTAGCAGCAAGGGGTAATGAGCTAATGTTTTATATATTTATTTTCAATTGTGCGCGAGTCACAGGTGTGCGCGCGCGCGCGCGTGCGTGTTGTGCTCAGGTTAATTAAGGCTCGTGTTCAACATCTGCGAGTCTTATCAGAGGGTGCTTTTGTTTGTGGTGAAGATTGTTTACAAAAAGAAAGGACACATTTTTTTTCCGGCCATGTGTAGCCGGAAAAAAATGTGTCCATTAAATTACAACCGTTTCAATCCGCGCAAACTATTTTTCGTCTATTTGGTTGTGTTTCTCCCTTGTGATGGGACTTTCTAGGATGAACATTGAGATGTATAAGGGCACGGGGTAACCAGTAAGGTCGGAATTGGTCTGTATGCTTTAGAGAGGGGGGTCGGGGTTATTTATTTCTTAAATATATCGCCGTTCCGAGGAACGCTACGCGTGTTGCAATCAAAACGCGCGCTTAAACGAACACAAAAATCAACTCGCTAATTAGGTAAATGGTATTAAGCTGTCGCGGGGAGAGCGTGATGGGGGGGGGGGGTAGGGTTACATTAGCCGTGCAATATGTCGAGTAATTAGCCGAGGCCATCCACGTTTGACAACACGGCGCGACTATATTTGACTTCTGATTGACTGCGTCGGGTTTTTTTTTCCTTTCAAATATTAACTTGACATTAATAACTTGACATTAATACCCCCCCCCCACCCGGCTCCATCCAGAAGGTTGCGCGGCTGATGGGATGTGTAAAAAAGAAGCATTTTATATGTTACGTTGAGAGACAATTATGGGATGGATGCCGTAAATGTATTTCGTGAAGCGACGCTGAGCGATTACTGTGCGTCGTCTCTCGTATCGTTTTGCGTACAGAATTGGGACTCATTACTCTGCAGAAAGCGGATATTGCCATATTTACGGCCGGGCAGTTCGCGAGCATCGTCTCAGGCAAGGAGGCCAGACTCTGTGTGTAGCTGATGAGACGACCACATGTCGAAACCGGTAGAAAGTTTGTTGTTATTATAATTGTGTTGCTCCAAAGTCGCTGATAGGATGCAATCCACAGAAAGGAAGACCGGTTGGCCGATGGGATGTATATAAAAAAAAACCGCTTATATTTATTCTGTTATTAACATTCTCCCACAACGACGCTTCGTGGTTGCTTATTTTGTGCGCGGTTAGAACTCTCCGAAGGGTTGAAAAACCAAAACGCGAAAGGTTAAGTGAGTTCCTTTGCGGGCAACTGGCATGGAAAAAAATGCCATGGATGTAACACCCCTCGTTTTCCCTTTCGGCCAAATGCAGCGGGGAAGGGGATAAGGTCAGCAATTAATGTCAAGGCAGAGTTCGGCAGACAGTGTTCCTCTTACAATGGGCGAAATGCAAGGGGCATTTACGCCGGGAGAAAATGAAGCCACTTTAGGCGCTGCTTTCTACTTAACGAGCTGATGCAAATATTTCACCCTCCCAACGGCGGAGAGCCGCTCGTTTTTTCTCCGTGACACCATTTCGGAACAAGCTGGGCCTTCACAGTTTCAACATCGGAGGAGTGCGTGATTTGTGTGTCTGTGTGTACGTGAGAGAGAGAGTGGGGAGCGGTAGTGTAGTGGTTAGCGCGCTGCGCTGTATGAACCTGGCGATCCGGGTTCGATTCCCGCTCAAGGCCAACACCGATGACGATTTTCTGAACCTGGTCCTGGGCCTCTCCCCTAGGTCGACTCCGCCTCAAAATGAGTACCTGGTGCGGTGTGTAAACATCGCCACTAGGAAGACAAAGGCGGTCGGGCGTGGTGCTAGTCACCCACCCCCTCGTGTGCCGGCCTTCATAGGTGCTCGCTAACAGCACTTGCCTCTACAGGCTGCTAAAGTTATATGGGGAATTTTTTTTTAGTGTTTGAGATAGAGAGTGCTCAATTGTATGTGATGGGAGTGATGGTGAAGTGGTTAATGTGGGGAGCGATAGTGCAGTGGTTAGCGCGCTGCGCTATTAATCCGGTGACCCGAGTTCGATTCCCTAGGTCGACTCAGCCTCAAATGAGTACCTGGTGCGGTATGTAAACATCGCCACCAGGGAGACAAAGGAGGTCGGGCGTGGTGCTGTCCACCCACCCCTTCATGTACCGTTCCGGCCGTCATAGGTGCTCTCTAACAGCACTTGCCTCGACAGCCTGTTAAGGCTACACGGGGGACATTTGCCTTTTGTTTGTTTGTATTGGTTAGTGAATGCAGCAACCTGGGTTTGATTCCTGGTCACGGCGACTATCGGTGGACACATATCTCAGCTGGCTCTGGGCCACCTCTAGGTCGAAGCAACCTTAAGTAGGTGCGACGTGAAAATTTCAGCACTGGAGAGTCGTCAGACGTGACCGAGTGCGGTGCTGGCTACACTCAACCCCCTCGTGCGCCGTTCCGACCTTAACAAGTGCTCGCTAACAGCCCCAAGGGGCTATTAAGGGCTATACGGTGAGTGGATCTTTCTACTTGATGTAGTGTATAGTAGCGCATAGCGTTGTCATAACCTCTTCACCGCAAAACAGCTTCGCAGCCAGTTTGTGTAGCTATTGAGAGTGCAGGCGGTGCAACTACACCAGCAGCCCATAGATGCCCAGGCGAAGGGTGTACACAGAGGAGGAGGTGGGCGGGGGGGGCTGGGGAATGGACAGGGGGCCCAGTTTAGGACTCGTGCCAGCGAGGCTACTATGCCACTTTCTGCAGCTAAATTCTAGCAATTACAATCATGCACGGGACTAATACTTCATAGAGCGTTCATCCTCGGAAATGGCTTTTCATCCTCGAAGTGGCTTTCCAGCTTCGACGGCAAAAGTGGCTTTGCACGAATTATCACCTGGGTTTCTAATTGCTTTCGATGCCCATTGGCGTCTAGTTTTGACCGTTGTTTGAAGGCCGAATTCACACAAGGCTGGCACACACTCTGTGCGGCTCTTCCGATTGCCTACTGTGAGGCAGGCAGACGGTTGTTGGTCGCTGTGAATCCGTCTTTTTGAGCTGACCTGACTGTATAGCATCGGCCATTGACAGATATGGCATCAACAGCCCTGAGGGGGGGGGGGGAGGCAGGGGAATGGTATGACAATGTCCTCCCTCAGCCCAATCGCTGGGAAGACTTTTATTGTTCTGCGAAGATGAACTGTGCGAACACCGCTGCTGCCAACATCAGCAGTGGCCCTGCATACCAATCGTCTAATTTCAATGCAATTTTTATCCTCCCCCTTTCGCTGCATACCAAGGTGAACTCGATTCTCAAATATCGCAGATGTGCTACAATACCACATACACAGAGAGACAGCCAAAACGGCGGGTTACGCGAGTGCAGCATTGCCCTGACATTTTACGTGTAACAAAAAAAGGTAAAAGCGCAGGGCTGAAATTTTCTTGCTCATGCACTCCGCTTGATGGAGCTCTAGAAAGCCCCCCCCCCCCCCCCAGATATCGACTCTTCCAAGCTGGCACAGGCTACTGGAGATATGTGATAAAGAGCTTTGTAGCTCATCGGATTACTCAAGTCTAAATAAATATTCTGATTCAGATTTTTTGGAGATGTGGTAGTAACTGCACACTTGACCTTTTCCACAGCACCTGCCGATCGACTCCTAACTGCGAGCGCGCCCATTTATAGCGCATAAAACGTGCAATCACTTCGGACGCATGTATTGTACAGGGTTTGACCATTAAACAATGGGAGAGGGTTTTTATGGCACCTGTAATTTCAACCAGCATTCTGTAATGGTATCACCTGCAACTGGTCAGGAATTAAAACTGAAGGCATGTCATTTTAACTGAGCACATCCATATTCTTGATTCTTTCGGTAAATTCACGTAGAAGGGAAACAATATACTAATAAAATATATTGTTTTATATTTTTATTATTTTATTGTTTCCCTTCTACGTGACGTTACCGAAAGAACCAAGAATATGAATCCCTGCAGTCACGAAAGCTTTAAATCCAAATTGAGCACATCCATTTACCTTCCTCAATATGAAAGTTTTAAAATGTTAATTATTCTTTCTGACATTAACATTTGAAGTCAAATTCTAAATACCGTGTTCAGCCCTGACATTTGTATTGCATTACATATTTAATAGATGTCTTTGTATTCGTGAGTTGTAATTTTAGCTGAGGTTTTAGAAATAAAGACGTATAAATATATGTACATGGCTTTATTATTTAATGAGATGCTGTGTTGTGCATGTGTATTCTTTACAGCCCCCTGTACGTGACTACGATAATCTTTCCACATTTGGAATCAATGACATACTGCAATCAGAAGTCACAATAATCAATTTAGGCTCTTTTATTAAACATAGGGCAACGGATATTTAATACAAATTACAATGAGCATATTCACGAGCAATTTTATCACGACAGAATTATAGTCCAATACATACAACTGTGACATCAGCATCGTTTGATGTCTCATATTCCCTTTGACACCAGGACATCTGAGCTGTGGCAGCCTGTGGTCATCACGGTACGGATGGTTTTCCACTGACATGTTACTGAGCAAAGCCGGAAGCCGGAAATAAGAGAGGCTGCATTGATCTCGCAAGACCATCGGGTTCAGATCCAACACAACGCTAGGGGCAGGGTTAATGACGTGCACAATGCGTCTTACGTCATTCAGGCCAAGGCTAAAAAAAAACGTCACCGCGACATTTACGCGCGTCATGACGTCACGAATTGCGTGTGATGTCAGTGGCACAGCACGGCTTGTGCGATGGCAAAGCAACCCGCGCTTCCATGACCCTGCTCTGCGTTGGCTTGGCATGGTCCCCAGCACGGATCAGATGTGCAAGTGGAAAAGAGGTATGAAAATGTGCTTACAAAGCAAGCTGGCGTTACAGAATGAGCTGTCCGACATAACACTATTCTGTATTTTACCAGGTAAGGCCCACTGAGCTATGTAGCTGTTTTTCAGAAGCCAACTGGCCAAAAATGATAGCTCAACTAAGTGGCTTATAATCTGTGAATTTATAGCAGGCAAATACTCTAAACGCAAGTTTCTAAACGTGGAGGGAAACACTGGAGGGCCCTGGGAAAATCCTTGTGACCACGGAGACAACATGCAGACTCCAAATATACAGCAGGCGTCAGGGTCGGGATCGAACCCACGAACTCCTCTGTATACCAGGCGAGGTTGTTAACATCACGCCGTGGCGTCCACTCGCCACCGTTGTTCCCACTGAATTCAGACATGTCTGAATTGTGCGTGTAAATGTTACCAGTGAAATTACCACACATTCTGTCAGATGTCTAGAATAAATATACATTTCTCACACTTAACCTATTCATTCACAAAGGTTAATTGCTTAAAGAATTTTGTTTAACCGTTGACACGTTTTTAGGACAAATGTCCCTAAAACATATAAAGTCTGAGACCATTTCAGACGCGACGTGCGTACGTAAGAATTGAACAGTTGCTCTAAAGCATGAAGGACGCTTTCAATCTGAAGCGTGCAAATTTCAAGGACAGCAGCTGCTGATATCTGGCTTCTAACACACTGGGATAAAGAAGAAGACAGCCAGCACCTTGGGGGGAAGAATTCCTAGGTAACCTAAACAGCGCGACTAAATAAATTACAATAAGAAACAATATTTTTCCTATTGATGGTTGATGAGAGACCATCCATGTGGCTGAGTGAACATCGTGGAATTCTCGAGGCAAATGCTGCGTTTGTCATTTAAAATAACATGTTATGCATTGTGAGCCGATACATATTTTGAAAATTAACCTTCACGCTTTGCAGAGTAATGTTATTGAATTTATAGCACAAAAACACACTGTGTTTCAAGCCGTAAATGTGCAGGCACACACATCTTAATCGTATTACCTTTTGTATGATTGTATTAACCATTGGCATCTGTCACCTTGTTAAATACATGGGTACATATGTACCAAACAGTGCTCCACTCTCTAGGGAAACATCAACTGGACATTTAAAAAAAATGTTAATTGTATTAATACGCGAACATTTAAAGGCAAACGATTAACGTGAAAACTGCAAGATGTATTCTCAAACAATGAGGCAAAAACCGACTACTGTACTCAATGTTAATTATTTAGATGGGGTTTTTTTTTCCAGATGCTTTTACCAGGAATGTTTCTTTCTTCAACATATTAATAAAATAAAGCACAATGCCTTTCGAAAACTCCGCACAAAATACAAATGTACAAAGACGAAAAATCAAAGAGTGCTTCGTTTCAAAGTATCTGTCTCCCCACTCAATGACCAGATCAATGCCGAAAGGCAAACAGTGTTAGATTTCCACAAAGATGTGCTCATTTTTATCTACCCGGGGGTGGGCTGAGTCAATTTCTAACTGGGACTTAAATGAGCGACTATCTCATTATGATTTGAGTTCTGCAGTTAAGAGACATCCAGGCAGCATTTTTTTAAACTCATCTATATACTGTAATGGTGAGCAATCCAGTGGTGGTCGGTTCAATCTCCCAGCGTGGCAGTTGAAACGATAGGCAAGTTTATCCAATCCGCCCCCCCCCCCGCCCCCCCACCTTTATGCAACCAAGAATAAATAGGTACACCAGTTATAGGTGTGGTGGCGTAAAATGAGGGAACTCACAGATATTCCAAGACATCTGACCAGAGTGGAAAAGTAGGCCAAATACCCGCTAAAGGGTCTCTCTAGAGAGTCTTTTACCGTTAGCCCTTCTGCCAAGAGTGGTGTCGGCACGCCATTGCAGGGCTGCACCTTTATCTTTACTTATACTGCAAAAGGGCATTACTCATATGAAAACAACCCCCAACTTTTAAGAAATAAAATAAATTACGCAGCTTTCTTCCTGTGTACCGCCACGAGTTTTTTTCGTAGGGATTATTAGTCACGGTCTGAATTAAAGATTAAATTTAGAACCAAACGATACACTTTAACATTCATATTCTTGTCATTGGCTGTCGCGGTTAAATATATAATTAATAATTCATAAGCCGGGCTGTGAGCCACGTGGACATTTATTGAACGACAAATTTAGTCACCTCCTTGAGATTGGCTAATTCGCACGAGAGAATATGCACTCGGGTACTGTGAGAAGTGCTTCGGTAAACTATCTGCCAGGGAGAAAGAGGGGCAAATGAACAAAAACAAATTACTGACATGTCTTTGTAAAATAAACACATTGCATTAATATCGTCTGCTCTTAAGACGTACAATACGATGTCGACATATCCAACTATCACGTGCACACCCTCACCAATTAAACCGCCCGCAGAGAAATGTTTTCCCATGTCAAAGCAGTCCGCACTTTATTTTGTATTGCACAGTAACACATTTTCTAGAGATGTTTATACATCTGACCTCATGCCGGATACGCGACGTTGCGCCGCACACCGTGAAGCTAAAAAGGGATCAAACGCACAAGAGACAAAGACTCTCTGTCTAGACTTATAGAGTGGATGCGAAAGTATTATTTGATGAACACGTAATAAGGTCAGGTTGGAATTTGAAGGGGTGATGTGGCCAGCCCAATGCCAGATACCTCGTGTCCCTACGTTGTAGATGTGACACATCAAGCACACATTTACAGTAAGGTTTAGACGACTGTACGGGACACGTTCAGAAACCACTTTCCGCTGATGCTGGGAATAGAACTCAGGCCACTGGTATCATGATATATTGTGCTAACCATTACACCACCGCTCCACAAAAGCAAAGCTCTCCTATATAGCCTTCAGAGGCTGCTGGGGCCAGTACAATGACACACGCACGAATTGGTGGTGTCTTTCCAGTGCTGATGTGTACACACTGCTCCAGACACTCACTTAAGGCTGAATCAACCTTGGGACGGCCCAGACCTAGTTCACATATTTGCCACTGATGTAGACAGTGGCTGGGAATCGAACTCGGGTCACTAAGTTCGTAGTGTAGTGTGCTAACCACTATGCCAATACGCCACGACTCCACACACACACACGGTATTGTATGCATGGTAAAATAATGCATGTGTTCAACTGCGCTGAAGAAGCTGTATTTTTATTTGGGATCATGACTGAAATATACGAGTAAATACATCCAAAACAATGATAGGCGTTTGAATTGATGGAGTATGATCTGGAATCATGATGACAAATTCCAATTTAAAATGTCACATTTCGACACCAGTGGTTCTAAAAAGGCATAACGAATTACTATTTGAAGGGGGTGCATTACACTCATGACTATATATTTAGCCACTTTAGTTTTGGCGCAATCCTGTTATCCACGCTTGAATTACAGTTTATTTACTTTTAATAGTGCTAAGAAGCCAACGCTCTGTGTCACTTTGACTTACAAAATAAACATTTCAGTGGCCTAAAAAATAACATTGGCCAGAGCGAAAAATGTAACGTTTCAGTGGTTGTCTTAACAGTATGGTACATTGTTTATCGATAAACACTAGAAATACTGAGAATCTGGTTTTCCCATTTTTGAACACACATTTCAAATAAAAAGTGTGTGTCTACCTCTTCGAACGAGCTAGGGGCAGGAACCATCTCTGTTGATGACCCTGAACCAAGGACAGAAACTCCATATTTCTACAATGGGAGCCAATCTGTCCATAGGACACTCACTATTCATACGGCTCCCTAGGTTTTCGTGGTTGTGTTATTTGGCCATCCAATGTGTGTTTTTCGTTGTACCACACGTTGTTTTGGTATGATGTCCGACGTTTCGCTGTACGTGCTGTGGAGCTCCTTCCGAGTCCTGGAGAAGCTCCCGGCACGTGCAGCTAAACGAGTTAATTATCGGACATAACGCCGAAACAATACACGGCATAACCCCAAAAAACGTTCGACAGCCATCAGCGGTTGACTTCCCACGAAGTGAAAATCATTGTTTTTTTCAATCACGGAGGGAAGCTGAGCCGAGTTGACTGCTGATCAGGATTTGCAACCTTTCCATTACGAGTTGAGTACTCTTAATAACAGTGTCAAATTGAAAAATATTACCACCATAAAATTGAGAGTCAAGGTGTTTTATCAGTGAAAACGTAATATTAATAACCAATTCCAGTGGTTGTTGGAAAACACCACCCAAGATAGGAATGAGGCACAGTGAATGATTTGACATTATGAGCATCAAATCATGATTGTAACAATTAGTGATTTAATATATCTGAATATAGTATGTAAAATATACATTTACGTGCATGGGGGCTCTTCCATTTCGTGTATCGAGACTCTTCGTTTTTTTTAAGGTTTTCATTCTCTTCATGTCCCTGTTGGCTGAGAACTCCGATAGGCATTATTCCCTCGACACGATGCCAAATTTAGCAATCATCCTCTCATCTCTGCAGCCTTAACTACCTTTGTACTGAAGTCGCTCTTTATGATGTGGTGTGTTTTGTTCACATTCAGAAGAAAAATCTGAAGAGACAATTTTCTATTTGGGTCATGAAATTTGTGGGTGGGGCAATATCTTTGAACTTTTTTGGTTTGTTTTTTAACCTAAGCCTACAAAGGTTTTGCATTTGGAGGGTGTCACGTGTGCCGAATCCAAATATGACATCAGATAGTCAGTAACTCATCTTTTCAGTTACTTTTTAGTAGAATATGACACAAAATCCAAAATAATGCAGAAAAGCCTTCGACCAGTTTGAAATATATGATTGGAGATTTGGCTCTCTGATGTGTTTTTGGCAGGCCCTACCACATGTTGTTTGGCACGTTGTTTGCCATTTAGCTCTGCGTGTTGGTAGAATCGTTAGGAACTGAATTCAACTGAAGAAGCTCCCAGCACTTGGAGCGAAACGTCAGACCCTGTACCAAACAACACGCGGCACGACACCAAAACGCATTGAAGAGCTATAACCGTATTGCACAGCTGCGAAATCCTATGCAGTAATGTTACTCTGTTGTGTACGTTGGTGAAAATAGTATCATCCTTTTACCTTGAAGTAGATCTTGCATCGCTCCAACAGCACCCTCCATTTCAGCTCTGTCTTCTGAACATCAGTCATTTGGGAAAATGCATCCACCTGCAAATAAAATACCATTACGTTGTTATCACAAAAGCAAAATACACTTTACATGAAACATGCTTTCTAAGGCCAAATCACGCATGTGCCCGATCTCATTAGACCTCGAAAGCTAAGCAGATTTGAGGCTGGATAGTGCTTGAATGGGTGATCACCACGCACAAAATCGGTGTTGTATGCCACTGTAATGGTTGCGTTGTTTGCAGGGCACAGTGCAGCAAAATCAATCGTTTGCTCCAACATCTTCACTCATCTCATTCATCAAGTCTCACTGACTAGCAGAGTGACGTACGGTCAAATAACCTTCACAACCCGCACAGCCTTGGAAGGTTCTCATTCAGCAGTGGATTGACAAAAGGGTCATAAACCTACATGTTTTCAAGAATTAAGTTCAATATTGATAAAATAGGATGATACCGTAGTGTGTCATGGTTAGCTCATTTGACTTGTTTCTTTCATAAGCGAGCACGTTTTTAAAATTTCCCCCCACCCCAATCCAACCAGCATCATAAATTGGTACACCACAATTAGCCAACCAGCAGGTCGCATGTGGTGGTGCAGGATGTCTGACCAGCGTGGAAGAGTGGGTCAAAATACCCCCTAGCCAGCGACCTCTAGCTAGCCTAACAGTCACTTAGTTCATGATGGGTAAAGCCCATAGAGCTAAGTATATAATAATAGGTTTTTTACCCTTTTTTCTGGCAACAAAACTGACACTTTTTTTTCACAAGGAATCATGTTTGCATTAACCACAATACCTGCGGTCAGAATGCAAACAAAAAACAACTCTGATAATGTATGCATTGTCCTTCCAATTGATTGATCCACACCAGAGACAGCTTTTCTTAGAGCCCAGTCTCACATGGACCAGATAACGCCAAGGCGTCAAGGCGTCATCTGGTCCAACAGGTATTGTGGTTAATGCAAACATGATTCCTTGTTAATGCAAACATGATTCCTTGTAAAAAAAAAGGTGTCAGTTTTGTTGCCAGAAAAAAGGGTAAAAAACCTATTATTATATTTTGCTACTGTTAAAGGAGGCCTCATGATGAAGCTAAGTATATCTTTGTCAATGGCAATCTGGCCAAAATGGCTGTATACGGTAGCGAGCCCTCCCCTCAGCTGTGGCGTGAGCATTCAATTGCAGGGTTGCACCTTTTCCACCTAATCGTGGCACAAAGTTTGTGAAAGATGCAAAATCCACCTCACGTTTTGCTCGTCTCAGGCTATGCATGACGCCTGAATTTATTAACTGGAACGTGACTGCAGTGATTTCATCCTCAGCGCTTTCTCCAGCAGATGGGCAGATGCAGTCCAAGCAACCTCCCATGAGAACTGGTCTGCTGGGAGACTCAGCACTGGTGCATTAACATCGCCACACGCTGACTCTGCGCTCCATTTATCAATTAATTCACCTGCATGTGTTATCACCTGAGACTGGACAACCTGAGGCACACTGTATAGATTCCTAGAATTGGAGCAATGAGCCATCGATGGTTATAATAACATACTCTTTGGTTCTTTCGGTAAAGTCACGTAGGAAGAAATAATAATAATAAATCACGTTTCGATCGCAACAGAAGCGGTCGTCCTCAGGCGGAAAAAAATAATCCAGCAGTGGATTATTTTTGCATGTCAAAAATCCGCCACTATTTTTTCTGGCCCACGCGCATTTTTTTCTAATTTGAATTACCACTGCAGCGAGGAATAGTGCTGGAATGTGAATTTACAATTGAACACCAGACGATCACCAGATAACCCACTGGTAGATGAAAGCTTCCCCACGGTTAGTCATGGGTTTTTTTTTACCATACTTCACCACGCTATTCAATGCGGGTCGGTGAAGGAGGGGAGAAACCAAGAACAGTGGTAATATCACTTGTTACTGCTAATGTTAGCTGTGGTGGAGAATAGAAATCATGTCGCTGACTTGATAGTGAAGTGCACTATTGAATGCTGAACAACTCCACCCTACCACCATTTTATAAATAATAGGGATGTAATGATCCATCTCTTTCACAGATTGATTAATTATCATGCTTCGGGATCACAATTCAATTCATGAAACAATTATATAATTCCCATCGTGGTGCATGCATAATCTATAGTAGCTGAAGGGTTTGGATGAGCCAATCATATCCGCTATGCAGCATACGAATTGAAATTCAGAAATAAATTATTCTCACATGGACGAGTTGATGTGTAAATCTTGAGCAAAAGAATCGATATTCATTACCAAATCAATGAATCATTACGTCCATAGTAAATTATGTTTTATCGTCCTAATCTGTATACCCAAAAGAGCAATGTATGGTAATGAATCCCAAGGATTAAAACATATTTCAAAAAAGGTTTGCAACAAAGCGAGAATGCATCTAACATACGTGGCTAAATCTCAACACGTTCATCAAAACACTGCGGCCTTGAAAGGGATGTATAAATACATCGTAGGAAATGTTTCAGGCAATGGCCCTTTTTCAGACAACATGAAGAAGGGTGTGTCATGAAAAGGCCATTGCCCAAAACGTCGCCTCTTATGCATTTTTTTTCTCCAGTTTAAGGCCACGGTGTTATTCGCGAACGTGTTGAGCTTCTTTTATTGCGCTTGTGCACCAGTATCAGCAATTAATTTTGTTGAATGTACATAGATGGTAAATTTGCGAGCGAGTGAATGGCTGTTGCACATTAATGATGTTCTATTTGATGGGCTAGAAATCTGAATTTTGGCACAGATATAATCGAGACTATTAAAAAAAAATCCCAAAACGAAAATGATCAATTTTGCCCCTCCCCTTACAAATTTGGGTTGATGAAAATGCGCATATGGAGGCTTTGAAGGGAATCTCAATGCAAATGTTTTCAAACCTACACCTACACACGTTTGTATATAGGAGATTTAAAGGTGCTAAATCCTAATATGATATCACATTTTCTCAGCACATTTTAAACATCCTATCAGCCACATGGACTTTTGGGAGTGCATAATTCGAGCATCCTAGCTTCAACACAAGCAAACGCTGTACTATTTTTACATTCAGTGTCTCATCAGCAGAGAGAGGCTTTCTTGAACCAATGCTGGTGAACTGCCAAACGTTTATAGGCATATTGCAGATGGGATGTATAAAATACTTTTACTATTCACGTGAAGGGACAGATATGGGAAGGAGGCATATTGTGTGCTCATTTCATTTTGATACAATTCATCAATGACATGACTCAGGGAGAAAACATATAACTTTACATTCTTAAACAAAAATATAGCACACCTTAAAGTAGACAGAGCTGTTAGGGAGTGTTTTCAGAGTGAATATGGGTTTATACTTGGGAAAATGTGGCAGATTAAAAGTTTCACTGGCGATTGACAACGGCAATTATGAGTGAAAGTTTGACCAGAGACAAACGGGGTCGATGTCATCCAGGAAAAGGCAAGGTTAGATTATGTGAAAAAGTGGACTGGTGTGACACATGCCTGTCTGAAGCAATAGGGGCAGTGAAGAAGTGACTAGAGAAAGTGCACTCTGCAAGTGGGTACCACATAATCATCAGCTATGATCAATCCATAAAGGCCTCCAAAAGCCATTAACATCTCTCATGATTCTGTGATGTAATAATCCACGTGACCTGATATTGCTCCATCTCCGCCGGTGGATGGACTCGTTACATTGCTTGGTCGCCACTGCGTCACTATTCTTGATACATTAGCCATAATCTTTTCTAGCAATGCATCTTGCGCAAGGCTGCTTACTTTTCTTAAGTTTGCATGATGTCATAAACCTGCGTATGTTCTATAATCCACGTCTCCCTCTTTCTGTCTCTCAATACTATTTTCAAGCATACATATCTCCATGCTCTCTCTTAAGACTCTTCAGTCATTGTTCCGTGTTTACTTGCTATCGACCATGTGCCTGAACCGTACGTCATAGGAGGTGGTACGCACTAAATTAAGAGGCTACCGCAGTCTCTAGATAACGGATGAAGGTACTGAATTCACCATTGATATTGCCCTCTGCACGACTAATACAAGAGGGTGGGGCTGATGCATTGCTCTTACCGTGCAGCCCAGCATCTTTTCGGCCACGGCCCCTGTGACCCAGCAGTTGTTGAGGCTTCCGGTGTAGTCGGCAATCTCCATCTGCATCTCGAACGTCCTGACGGTTACTGTGTTGTTTAGCAGAGTGGCGTCGCAGTTGTCGTTTGTGCACACCTGACTGTAGGGATCTACCGAGCAATTGCACAAAGAACTGCGCGCAAAACCAGCCACCCCGCACACAAAAAAGGTACATTGAAACATTAATAACACTGATTTAAAGCTTTTGTGACTGCAGGGATTCATGTTATTGGTTCTTTCGGTAAAGTCACCACGTAGAAGGGAAACAATAATAAAAATATAAAACAATAAAATTATCACGACGTTTCGACTGCAACACAAGCAATCGTCATCAGGTGTGAAAACCACAGCAAGAAAAAATATATTGCTGTGGTTTTCACACCTGATGACAATTGCTTGTGTTGCAGTCGAAACGTCGTGAGAATTTTATTGTTTTATATTTTTATTATTTTATTGTTTCCCTTCTACGTGGTGACTTTACCGGAAGAATCAAGAATATTAATAACACTTATCACTCTCACGGATTAACTGGCCTTATCGCACAATCAATTAACAATCGAACCAGTATTGGAAATTTAGTTGCTGCGATAGTTTTGTTTAAAAAAAAAACAGCCAAAATATGGAAACATGACAAACTATCAATTGGGCTCTGGGTGTTTTGGCAGAGGTGTTTCGTTACTAAACATATTTGTATTTATATGCTGTATAAATCCAAATTGCATTGCATTGCATATCTTTTATGGTCGCAGAGATATGGCAGGGCTGGATTTAGGTATCTTTGCCCCTGGGACACAAGAGCTAGTTTGGGGAAGGAGTTAGTTCAGCATGAGCACGAGACAATGAGGGTAGGACTGAATAAACTGTCCTATTTTTCTTAATTTAAAAAAAAAAATTGTCCTATATGTTTTTCATGGGCCTCTCTGGGGTCCTGGGCCCGGGACAAATGTCCCATTTGATGCTGCGATGAGTACTCTCGACTGACAGAAAGCCGCGCGTGAGTTCAAATTCCGGATGGGGGTCAACTCGACCTACAATCTCTCCGTGATCAAAATGAATAGTATCACTTTGTGAGGAGTCTACATTCATTGTTGTAAAGGGTCACTGATCCCACCTTAGCAATGTGAAATTTACACCACCAGCTCAGGGCCACTGGAAAAAGATGCCTAAATATCAGTGTGCGCATTCAGCAGAACCTTTATATGAGATTAGGTGTATCCACAATACCAAAAGGTCAAAGTGAAGGGGTCAGACTCATGTGTTGGTAAAAATTCCATTATTTTACGTTTTTATCGACAATGTGCTAATGTCTCCAAATCGCCAAGGCTGAGTGTCAGCCATTTCCTTAAGACGTGTCTCCCTGCCTATATACAGCCATGGCATTCGTAAGGTGAACCTTCATTATTTTTCCCGTTTTCTTGGCTGATGCAAAGTGTGGTTGCCTGCTAAAGAAATGTGAAAGTCATATTCGGGCCTCGGTAAGGAAAATATTATTTACCCCGTACTGTACAGGAGTCCAAATGTTTATTTGCCGCTCATGTAGACTATTTTTGAAAGGCTAAACATGTTTAAATATAAGGGTACCAGATCTGAGCTTTGGTTGTGGATGGAGCAACACAGTGCACTCAAACTGTGCAATAGCGTCTGATGTTCTCAGGCTCATGTTTGACCTGCTGTTGTCATGTTGGGAGTGTTATCATGAAGGTTCCTCGTACCCTGCCCTATCGCCACACTCGACTCCACTACATACACGGCAAGGGCAAAAAAAAAACACACACACAAAACCCATCTGCTTATTGAATGCAATTGTGGTCCCGAGTCGTAACAGTTCATTGAGTCTTAGCGGGGCGTGGGGTGAATCGGTACATGTCTAACAGCATTAAATCTCAACTCCGAGTCACGAATCGAGACTAATGAATCCTCTGAACCGGTGGGCGTGTGGCTTTGCACAGGGGAGGCTTAATAATTACCATCGTACTCTCATGACTTTGCCGGCGCTGTCGTCGACATTGAGCATGGAGACGAACATGCACGCGACGCCCCAGACAGGCACGGGCGATTCTGACGCTCGGAGAGACACCTCCTTTTCCTTCATCTGCTCAATGGTAAAGACGTCCTTTATGGTGTTGACTGAGAGGGATAAATCATGACAAAAATTGCAAGGGAGCAGACACGCCAATATTTTACCGCAATTCAAATCCTGGGGAAAAAAAATGAAATTAGGGTGGGGTGTTGCTGATGAGGCTGTCATGCTCGCGAATTACACTTCACGCGCGCAGTACTCACAGTCAAGTGTTTTGAGGCCTTCCGGAGAAATGTCTTCCTCAAAATTTCCTGCTGCAAAGTAGTCATTTGCATAAGTAAAGAGAAGCTGTGCCTCCTGGGTATCTGAGACAGAGGAGGATTTTGAGATCATTACTCTACACGTTCATTAGTAGTGTCGGCAGCACATACACATGGTGCACTCCGAGGTATCCTTGTTTTCATCATCGGCTGTGGTCGATTCACTGCTGGATGAAGGCCTTCCCAAGCTGCTACCACTTCTCACGATCCTTTGATGTAATAATCTACCCAGCACCTGCACACTTCATCACTCTATCCCCTTGGTAGACGTGTTTTCACATGCATTATTTTTCTGGGCTGTCATTATTCTGGATTGGTTTGAATGAATACAAACTTGTATTATTTCAAGCAATTTGAAAAGAATACACATGATATAACGTTGTTTTAATTTATGAAACAGTTGCATATTAGAACCCGCTTCAAGGAAGCAGTTTATTTTCTTAAATCAATTATTTGATTAAAAAAAAATGGTTGAGCGAAACTGATTTATATAACTGTATTTCGTGTTGTCGTATTGGTTAAAATATAATACTGCACTGCACCCGGTGAGTTTGACTCCGGGTCACATACGACATTAGTGGTGAGTATTTTGCCTCCCCGCTTCACTGACCAGCATCGTGAATTATGGTCATACAATCCCCATGGCCGACACAGTGAGGAAAGCCTTTTAGCCAGCAGTGGGTTGGCAAAGGGCTGCACGTTATTATTGTTAATACTGTTTAGAGTAAAAAAAAATGGTAAGTTCAATTCAAGCACTATCTCTCACAGATTCAACAGCCAGCAAGAAAAGGCATGCAGGCCTGAAACAAAGTCTCAATAATAATCTCATCGTGATTTGAATAATCTCATGTTGGCATGTTAAGAATGCTCGAATTACTGTTGTTTTGTTGTTGAAGACACCGTCTAGTGTGCAAATTATAAACTACTATGACCAGCCAATGACAAAGTTACATGGAAGCTAAGCAGGTTGAGCTTGGTGTAGTACTCTAATAAAATCAGTGTTGTAGACTTCTGTGGGGATACTCTGTCAGCAGGGGGAAGTGCATCAAAATGCATTGTTGTACTGTGCCATGCCTCAATGGCTATGCTAGCCACCTTCATCAACGAGCACTGATCAGTGTGGTGAATTATGGCCATTGGATTGACAAAATTATGATGTATGCTATAAGTAAGGGTAGGCTGGAACTCAAAGAAATGTCTGAAACTCCAATGCAAATTATGAAACTTTATATCCTCATGTAACTGGCATGTCTAATTCTTCAGGTTTACAAATGTTATGATCTCTTTTTGATCAGTGACCACAAGTGTCAATTTAGAAGTAAATCCATGCGGTGTTTTTTTCTTTGCCACGCGGAAATCTTCACATTCGTAAATACATGAAAAGGGCAAGTGTTCAACACCACTGGCATGTCCCTCTCCAATCCTTGTGGTGTAACATGCAATGACGTTTCTGCTTCTATAGCATTTGAAAGTTACATTTGGTGTTAGAAACATGCACAAAGCCAGCCTCATTTTGCACAGAAATGTCAGGAAAATTCAAACAATCAGGCCATGTGGCATACACGTGCAGACTGCATGAAGTGTTTTAAACAGACGCGATGGTATTTTTATATAATATATAACTAAATAAATACGCGGTGAAGGAGTCTGTTTAATTGCTGTAATTACATTCAATAACATTTTTACAAGTGTAACAGTCCGTTGGTTGTGGTAGTATTGGCAAGAGCTCTCTGTGAATACCAGAGCCTCAATTCACATTCAGTAGAGTACAACAAAATGGAATGTACAGTTAAATCTATGTTATAATCCATCGGCTGATTAATCACGCTTGTGATTTTTTTAATGAAATGTCCTTAAGAGCACGCTGGGTTCATTATTAGCTGCTCCTCACTCGTGGAGGGACCTTGACTTAGTGCACACGTGACTGTGAATGTTGGCCAGCAAAACAATTACTTTAACAGAAAATAAAAACAGGTTATGCATTTTGCATCTTCAACTCTATTCTATGTGGGTAAGCAATACATGTGTGTGTAGAGCCAATTTATGTTTTTCATTATCCGTGAATTTGTTTAATCTGGGCCACTCCTCCACCCCACTGACCCCATTAGCCCGGATAACCGAGAGTTGACTGCATTTGCTTTCATATATGAACTGTGCTTATATATGCTTGTCTGTTGTCCAGTCAGATACACAAAGGTGTTTCCCAGTATTTTGTCAGTTTGATAACAAGCTACATATTGCATCGCGTGCCTTTGCTCTTACTTGGATTGGTAGTGATGATGGTCTTGGAGATTGCTGTGGCAACCATGGACTGCCGATATTTGTCAAAACTGACCTTCACGTCGGCCGCAAATATCACTGGACAAAAATGCAATGAAATGTCTCGTAAATGTTACATCTAATAAATTAGCATTGCCATGTTCTTCATTTTAATGTTTTTATTCCAATAGGGGACAATTCAATCAGGTTGGTAATGCAATGCATATTAAATTGTGTCCTCTATTTAAAAGCCTAGTAACAGTGAGATAATAAACAAAGGGCCCAATTTACAAGTTTTCAAGCATTGAGGTGGTACTCACCTTCTGTTTACAGCCCTGAGCCAGATGTGTAAATAATATATTCCTATGGAATATATTACTTAAGTTGTCAAGTGTTTGTATAAAAGTGTAGGGGTGTTGTGGGAAGGTAACACACAGTGTGGGAAGGTAACACACAGTCACACCTGTAGTGGTGTTGTGGGAAGGAAACACACAGTGTGGGAAGGTAACACACAGTCACACCTTGGTGGCTACAACCACGTCCGCTATAGCCCCGCCTTCAGTGGGGTATGGGTATAAAGGGTGGGGAGCCAGCGAGCTCGGGGCAGTGTGTTGGGGCCAAGAATGAAGAACCAGTGAAGGAGGAAGACCGTCTAGATAGACCCTGGGACTTCCCTGACCGCTGTCCTTTTGAGGGCCGGCAGGGTAAGCCGGTGGTGCGGCCTCAGAGCCTCAGAGCCGGAGCCCTTTTAAGGGTCGTTCTGGTTGGTGGGGTGCCGTGATCTGTGCTTGACCAGGGCCAGATAAGATAGCCTCCTCTAGTGCCTGTAACGGAGGAACTGGGAGCACAGAAATTAGGCTAGATAGCCTAGGGGGTGTCCCAGCGTGTATACAGGTGAAGGGGCTGTTACCCCTTCCAGTGTAACCCTTAAGCTTGAATAAACAGTGCTGCCTCTACTCCACCGTCTCCGTGTCCCGTGAACCCACTACAACTGGTGTCAGAAGTGGTCTTTATAATGGACACAAGATGGACAAATCGCTCACAAGAACCTGGGGAGGAAGACGACTCTGCTGGGGCAGCTGGAAGAAATTAACCGCGCGGGGCTGGGGGTGCCGATGCGGCATGGCGAAGAACGCTGGCCAACGGCCGTTCCCGCCAGCGCACAGCCGCCAGAATTTGGATTCGCCGCCATGGCGGTGTCTACTACGGAGATTGGAGGGCCAATCACCGGCTGTAACGTCATCACCGATGGACGTCCGCCACCAGGACCAATTGGCAGGCGCAACGTCATCAACTGTGCGACCGCCGATGGGGACCCCCATCCCCTCCAGTGATGACAAAAACGGCGGGAACGACGCGCAGCGGCTGTTGGAAACGGAGCCATCGTTCCAACAGCGCTTACCTGTGTTAAAATAATTTGTGTCCGACGGGGGCGACTGGGGGGCCTTTGAACGTCGCTTCCTTGCTCATCAAGAGATGTCCGGATGGACGGACAACGAGGCGCTGCGTGCCTTGCTGGCCACATTGGACGATGACGCTCTCGCCACCCTCATCACGGCCCCCAAGTCGGCGCGCACTACACTGCAGTCGGCGCTCCGAGTCCTCGCCACTCTCTACGGGCCGCCATCGGACTGTCGCCAACTGTTCTATGAGCGGCGCAGGGGCCAGAAAGAGTCGCCGCTTGCGTACCGCACGGCTCTCCTGGCCCTTGCAAAAGCGGCTTTCTCGCGCATGGACTGCGAGGGGGTGGACGCGATGGTTACAGAAAAAACTTCTGGCGCTGGCTCAGGACCGGCAGATTGTTGTCATCGCAGCGGACGACGCGGACATGTGTTCTTTGCGGGCAGCAAGGAACATACACGCACATCTGCTGTCACAACGCCGACCACCTCTCGTCTCCAACGGTGCAGCTGCGGTGTGCGCTGGGACGTTAACCATCCCCTCGTCCGAAGAGATCTTCACTGCGGGTCACCCTGCAGAGTGGAGATCCGGAGGGAGGCCAGGTCGGACGACATCGAGCCACCAGGAGCAACCCAAGACGACGGGTGCACTCGTCACCTGCTACAACTGTGGCCTCAAGGGCCACGTGGCTTCGGGATGCCGGGCGCCGCGACAACGACCCGCCAGGACCCCGGAATGGCCGCCGGTTCGTCAGGTTGCAGCGGGGTCGAGAGGGCGCTTGGGCCGGGTCAGTGGTCTGAATTGGCTCACCGAGTTGTTGCTGCGTCGGTGGGTTCGTCTGTTGTTGCGGGTCGTATCAATGGGGTTGAGGTGCGTGTCCTTGTCGATACGGGGGCATCGGCAACGATTGTGTTGGATTTGATCTATAATATCCTCCCCGTTCAGAGCCGCCCCTTGCTGCCAGTCGACGTTCCGTGTTACGCAGCAAACGGGGGTTCGTTGGGTATCATAGGCCAAATCCGAGTATAAATTTGCATTGGGGATATCAAATTATCTGGGCCAATATTAGTCTCATCCTCGCTGGCGGTTCCGTGCTTGTTGGGGACAGACTTTTTGGCCAGAATGCCGATTAAAATATTGATTGACCAGGGATGCATTGAGCTCCCTTCGGGCCGACGTATAACGTTCCTGCCTTCCCCCGTCACCTCAAGGACGGCCTGCGCGACGATACAGGCATTCGTCACTCGTACTGTGTGTGTGCCATCGGGTGCGCTGGGTGTTTCGGACAACGGCGTTGTTAGGGCCCTCAAAGGCTGGGGAAAACGGGCTGGATTTGGTGGCCGCTCAAACGATTGTGAAGGGGAGCGATGACCCGTTCATCGTGGTCCTTAATGTCAGGGTGCAGACGGCTGTGGTTCCTCAGGGGACCGTGCTTGCACACGCGACGCCGGTACCCGTAGAAGAAACGGTTATGGGACATGTGGGGACCGACCCTCCAACTCAGCCACGTTCCATTGAGGACGATAGTTGGATGGATGCACTGTGTTCAGGAACGAACGATCTATCAGACTCCCAGCGTGCCGGATTATGGAACCTTTTGATTTAATTCGCTGACATCTTTAGCAAGCACAAATATGATATTGGGTGCACGAACTTGCTGCGACACCACATCGACATGGGTGCAAATGCCCCGGTACGTCAGAATCTTTTCGGTTGAGCCCTGCCGAAAAGGATCATGTTAAAACGGCTGTGGACGACATGTTGGCTGCGGAAATTATATCTCCTTCCACCAGTCCGTGGGGGGCACCCATAGTGCTTGTGAAAAAGCACGATAGGTCCTTGAGATTTTGTGTGGATTTTCGTCGCCTAAATAAAATCTCGGTGGCCGATGCATATCCACTTCCCCGAATGGACAAATCTCTGGATGCTCTAGCAGGGGCACGATTTTTCTCTACATTGGACTTGTCAGGATTTTGGCAACTTCCATTGGATGACGAGTCCGGACCAAAGACTGCATTCCGTACACCACACGGCCTATTTCAATTTAATCAGTTGCCAATGGGATTACACTCTGCTCCGGCGACATTTCAGCGCCTTATGGAACTGGTTTTGGCTGGCTTACAATGGGACGTTTGTCTGATATATCTGGACAATGTAATTGTATTTAGCAAAACGTTTGACGAACACCTTTTGAGATTGCACGCCGTGTTCCTCAAAATGCGCGCTGCAAATTTAAAATTCAAACCACAGAAGTGCCACTTTCTCCGAGAATCCGTGCGGTATGTAGGGCACATCGTGAGCCGATCGGGCATATCCACCGATCCCGCAAAAACGCAGTGTGTCAGCTCCTGGCCGACCCCCACCTCGGTGGCTGAGGTCAGGAGTTTCATTGGGTTCGCATCTTATTACCGGCAGTTCGTTGCGGACTTCGCGACCATTGCTAAACCTTTACATGCCCTGACGGCAAAGGAAGTGAAATTTCACTGGGGCCAGGTCGAGGAGATCGTTTTCCGTTCCATTCGCGACGCTCTCGTGGGGGCCCCACCATTGAGCTACCCCGATTTTTCCGAACCCTTCATGCTCGATACGGATGCCAGCAATACGGGTATTGGGGGTGTGCTCTCACAGGTTGTCGGTGGTGTGGAGCGCGTTGTGGCTTACGGCAGTAGGGTCTTGTCTTCGGCGGAGCAGAGATACTGCGTCACCCGTCGGGAGCTGTTAGCCATTGTATTTTTTATACAATATCGGCCATATCTGTACGGCCGGCACTTCACCATCCGTACAGACCATGCGGCATTGCAATATGCCTTGTGGGTGGAACAGCCTTCAGGGCAATTGTCTTGATGGCTCGAGGTCCTTCAGTACTATAACTTCACAACCACATATCGGAAGGGTGTTCGACACACTAATGCGGACGCGCTGTCTCGCCTGCCACCCGCCTCAGATTGCGCTTGTCTCATGGGATCGGGGTGTTGTAAGCCGCCAGATGACAGCCCCGCTTTAAATGTTCCGATTATTGCTGCTGCCACCGAGGACCCTTTGTCTGCGGGTCCTATCGAGCAGGGGGGAGAGGACTCCTTGCTGGGATTGTCTGTTACGGAATGGGGGAGCCTCCAGATGGAGGACGCGTCCCTCCTCGCGTTGCGTCGTCGCGCAGGAGGTTCCATGAGGGTGGTGACGGGGGTTGATTCGTTCGGGCTGCACCAGGGGCTCCTTATGCATTGGGATGGGAGGGCCCGCCGTCACAGGCTGGTGGTGCCTTCTGCTCTGCGGGGTAAGGCCGCGTGGGCTGCTCACGAGCGACTTTTGCACCTAGGGACCCACAAGACCCTTGCCATGCTCCAGCTGGATTTCTTCTGGTCGGGCATGGCAAGGGATGTGGATGACCTCCTGGGTGCATGTACTCAGTGCGCCCAACGGAAGCCACCAGCGAGGGGCGCCTGTCCGCCGATAAAATCTATTACGGTCTCTCGAGTTAATGAACTCGTCGCACTCGATATATTGGGGCCCTTCCCTGCGGCCCCTAGAGGTAATAAGTACCTGCTGGTTGGCGTAGAATACTTTACTCGATGGCCTATGGCATGGCCCCTCGCCAACCAGTCAGCAGCAGCCATCGCCGAGGCCTTTGTCCAGGGCTATGTCCTCGACAAAGGTGCTCCCGAACAGCTGCTGACTGACCAAGGGAAGAACTTCTCTGGCGTCCTTCTGCACGAGGTGTGTGCGCTCCTCAGTACTAAAAAAATCCGTACTTCCCCCTATCACCCACAAACGGATGGAATGGTGGAACGCCTTCATAGGACCCTCAAGTCCATGTCGTGTCACCAAGTGTGTGACTCCCAGACCAATTGGGATCTTCAGATCCCGGGGGTTTTGGTTGCCTACAGAATGGCTCCACACGCGGCGACCATATTCTCGCCATTCTTTCTGATGTACGGCCGCGATGTTGATCCACCTATTGAGACTCAGCTGCGGGTTTCCATACCAAACGAAAAATCGAAATTGGCCATGTCAAATTTAATATCCTGAGGTTGACCGAGGCGCGAGAGGCAGCCGCCCAAAACTCTAATTCCCGACAGAAGGCTAACGAGAAGTTGCGATCGCGCCAGTCACACACACATGCGTAGAGACCGGGTGACAGATCCTGGCTGCACTGCCCTCAAGCACCGTTGGCAACCTCGGCGAAATTGTTGCGGCCATGGAGGGGTCCTGTGGAAATTGTGCAGGTCATGCGGTCACAGTGTATTCGTATTCAGCAGGGGAAACGTCGCTGGTATGTACACCCCTCGTGCCTGAAGCGGTTTGTGGCACCGCGCGTTCCTCCACCACATTACACAGGCCGAGCATGTGATGTGTCCGCTCTCGGACGGCGACTTCGTCGCCTGCCCCTGATATGCCACTAACTGTTCCATCTTCAGGTGCCTCAAGAATGACGGCCTCCCAGCCGCCTGCGCCACCCGGCGGGGACGGGGATTGTCCTCCCGGGATGCCGGAGGGTTGCGCACTCGGACAGCGCCCACCGCCGGCCCGAACAGTTTCTCCCCCTACGATGGCCCCGCAAAACGGACTCGCGCCAAAACGCGCCGGTTTTTGTAATGTTGCCTTCCGGTTGCACTTGTTCTGTTCACACTGTTCTACTCACCTGTTACGTCTCCTTTTGCTGCGCTGACGGGTGGCTCCAGTTGAATGCGGGGGGGGGGGGGGGGGAATGTATATATTGTATATAGTGTATCTTTGTAAAGGTGGGTTGGGTTATTTATTGGGGCGTTTGGTTGTTATGAGGCACACACGGTTGTGGTTTTGTTGCGTTGTTTATTGTTCAATATTGTTGCAGCCGGGACGGCTGCGGGCTGTACAGGAGGGGGTGATGTAGAGGTGTTGTGGGAAGGTAACACACAGTGTGGGAAGGTAACACACAGTCACACCTATAGGGGTTTTGTGGGAAGGAAACACAGTGTGGGAAGGTAACACACAGTCACACCATGGTGGCTACAACCATGTCCGCTATAGCCCCGCCCTCTGTGGGGTATGGGTATAAAAGGCGGGGAGCCAGAGAGCTCGGGGCAGAGTGTTGGGGCCAAGAATGAAGAACCAGTGAAGAAGGAAGTCCGGCTAGATAGACCCTGGGACTTCCCTGACCGCTCTCCTTTTGAGGGTCGGCAGGGTAAGCCAGTGGTGCGGCCCCAGAGCCTCAGAGCCGGAGCCCTTTTAAGGGTCGGTCTGGTTGGTGGGGTGCCGTGGTCTGTGCTTGACCAGGGCCAGATCAGATAGACTCCTCTAGCGCCTGTAGCGGAGGAACTGGGAGTACAGGAATTAGGCTAGATAGCCTAGGGGGTGTCCCAGCATGTATACGGGTGAAGGGGCCATTGCCCCTTCCAGTGTAACCCTTGTTAAGCTTGAATAAATAGTGCTGCCTCTAATCCACCATCTCCGTGTCCCGTGAATCCACTATAAAAGCATATCAGTGCCTCCGTCACCAAGAGTGAAACATAATATCAAGTGGCTCAGCGGTACAACGAGCGGCTCGCAATCAGGTTTGCAAGTTCAAATACTGTTTGGCGGTTGACTCAGCCCATCGTCCTTTCGGGGTCGATACAATAAGTACTACTTTGTGGGGAAGTAGGGATTGTCCTGTGGATAGACTTGCCATAGGAATACATTATTTCCACATCTGGCTCAGGGCTGTAAACAGAAGGTAAGCACCACCTCAATGCTCATTTGAATAAGGCATCACTTTGACTTGACTTGATGTGTTTTGGCTGTTTTGGCGAGATGTTAATTTTGTCAAACATCTGTTTTGCAAGGAACATATAGCGGTAGCTGTACAAGGAAGGAAATGTCATGAATAATAATTTCTACAATTGAATTGCAGAAAATTGTGAAATTTACTCATGAGACTATGCCAGCGGCACACAATGACCTACCCTTGTAGAATGATGTCACAGGGCTTCAAGATCAACCACCTTACAGTAAACAGAACCCGATGGTAACAATTCCCCTTCACATTACAGTACTAGGCAACTGTGGCCATGTAACCAGTGTTATACTCTGACAGAATACTAAATGTCCTCGTAGCAAGCCCGCTGTTCACTATGCTATGCAGCCTACATAGGTCAGAAGAGTCAAAGTGGTTGGTTTACCTCAAAGAGGCATGGAGCAGTTGTCATCTTCTTGTTACAACCCTGAGTCAGTGATGGCAATTCCACATTCCTATGGTGGGTGCTATGCCCACAGGGATATGTTGTCAGCAGAGGGCAGCACGTAAAAATACATTGTTGTACTGTATTAAGCTCCAGCAGCTGTGTTTCCCTGCCATTACGAACTTGTGCTAGCCAGCGTAGTGAAATATGGTCATATAACCCCCATGACCCACAAGCTGTGTGAGCAAATAACCCCCAGTGGACTGACATGGTGGGGAAAAGGCTATCCTTAAGACAATCGCTGTTGATGTCCCACAAACTGGTCGTCATTTTATCAGCGCCAAAGAGATGAAAGGTTGAGTCAACCCCTGACTAGGACGTTAATTCACAACCTTCTTATTACAAGCTGTCCTCTTTAAGCACTGTGCTAACTGACTGAATCTACATTAAAGCTACCAAATTTTTGCAAGGCTCAACCAGGACACATAGTGAGCCGGCAGGCCCCCTCCCATTGTCGGCCCCACTCAATTGTACAAAGCTATGACTACTCAATCTCCAGTCCTGCACAAACAGTTTGTGGCCTTGCTCTTTCTGACGGTAGGCCCTGCCTACTAATACACCCTTCCCACTCTTCTGTTAACCACATCCACTACTCAAGCAGCTCTTCCCTTTGCTAATATTAGAGCCTGAGGCCAGAAAATGTTTGACTGTGATAAAAATCCCGATTTTCCCAAGAGCTTTGGAATACTGGAACAGCATTTTTTAAAGTGGGATGCTTGGCAGCTTTAATCTATGTGCAGTGAATGCAGGAAATACATTGCAACAAAAAAAACCTCGATTAATTACTCACCACACTGAGGAACATGGAACAAACGAAGCAAACATTCTTTGATGTTAAGCCTTTTAAGAAAAACATTTCACGTTCAAATGGATTTCTAGACTTTTTTATCCGCATAATTTACCAACAAAAAACAAGTGACAGCACAATAGGCTGTCACTTAATAGGTGCAAGTTGTGACAGATGCTGAGGTTGCACTTACATTCACAACTAGAATGCACATTAATTTCTGTTTGCACTGCCATTTCAGCTGTCAACAGCTATATGTGGGTTTTATGTGAAGGCAGTGAGACTTGGATTACACAGCAACAGCAAATAATGCTGGCTATAACAGTAACATATAAAATATTGCCAGAATATAACTGTATAGAAGTGGCCTGGTGGCTGAGGGTCAAAGCACTGGACTGGCATTGCTGGGATTCTGGTTTAAAAGTCAGGTTTCAGGTGCCTGTGATTCAACCAGGTTTTCAATTGCAGCAAGTTAAGGGTCTCAGCAGAGTCAGCAATGACTGACTACAAACACATTAAAAAAATTCAACAAATCTGACAAAATTCAAGCTCTAAGAATAAAAAAATGGTTTCAATGCCACCTAACGTTTCTTTGTAGTGTTCCTAGTGAATTGATGGACCCAAAGGATGGACGAAGCTCCCATCCCAGTGAGACCTCGAATATTCGTATTTTATTGATATTTACCAGACATCATGTTGAATATTTTTTAAAAGATTATTAATGTAGGGTCCTATTTAAGAAAGCTTGTAATTTCAGAACTGCCCCATCTTTGGATGTTTCTCGACCTGCATCTGCCATAGTGTGGATAAAATAGGTAATTTGATGGAATCTCATATAGTTTGGTGATATCTCCTTCTGCAGGCTGTTCTCTGCACTGCTCTGGATGATTCATGAAAGGAAATTTCTTTATCTCGTGACATGACGCCAAATGCACAAATGTAATACAATTTGGAAAATGGTGGAAGAAGAGTGTATTGCTTCGTCTGTACATAAAACATATTTTGAATCACAATAGAATAGTTAAACAAACCTGTTTTCCTAGGTTCCCACGTCTGTGCAAGCTGTATAGCTTCTTTATTCCAGCTAAAATAACATAACATGTTTTCATCAACAGAAATTAGTATTACAATGGCATGATAATAAAAAATGTATTTTATCAATGAAACGCTCAGCCTGAAGACTCTCTTCAAGAGCATCCCTCAGTGAGATGCCTAAGTAAAATGCTCTGTCAATTCTTTAAGAGATGTTTTTTTGTAAGTGGGATAAAATCGATAGCAAATCCACACATGAGAGGATGTAGTACTAAAATTCTATGCAGGTGGGTTCGCAAAACTAGTTTCTGTACTCTCATCCTCCCAATACCTGACAGCATAGGGGATTATAGAGTTTAACAAATCGACGTGATCCACAAACCATTACCGGGTTAAAAGGACACATTTACAAACACATTGCAAATCCCGCTGTGGCTGATTACAACATGATACATGCTCTGCCTGGCATCTTTGCAATTGTAAATGAGTGGAAACAAATAAGAGCCCTTTGTAGTATTTAAAAGCTCATAGAGCACTGCAAGCTGCACTGTTATTCGATGCTTTGTCAGCATGGAAGAGTAGACCAAAATACCCTCTATATAGGCTCTCTAGAGCTCCCTGTAGTGTAGGCCCTTCTGCTAGCAGTGACACGAGTAAGCAATTGCAGGGCTGCACCTATTACCTATGGCACTGAAAGTTTTTAGGCTTCAAATGTGCAGATTAAATGCCGACATGGTAGATGGCTAATGTTCTCGACAGAGAAGGGCAAGTGGCATGCATTGTTTACATGGGGGATAATTTTGCAAAGTGTAGGAAAGTTTGACTTTTATTGTATTGTTTTGCACTCTAAATCCATAAAACTTACAGCACAAAATGAAACGAGTTGACAGTTTCATCAAAGAGGATCACATCACAGTTCTGTCCCGGCCTGTTGTCCTTGGTTACAAAAGCTTTTGGCTCTGAAACCTGGTGACATGATAACGTATGTAAAAAAAAAACTGTCGATAACAATGCACTTATAACGAATGGTGGCACACATGACAAATGCATTTCAGCGGACCTTGTCTGAGGTTTTTTTCTGTAAGCCAACAATTTCAGCCCGCTTGTCTCTCTAGATTGTGCTATTATAATCTATGCCTTGAATGCATGTCTCAGTGTTTCTGATACGTTGTGAGAGCAATGCTACTACTGACCTCCAGACAGTGTCATCAATGTTGTCTGACTGTTTGAAGATATCTAGCGCACAGCACTATGCGCGTCCATACGCCATGATGTGTAAGTGTGGTAACATTTTACCAGTGATTACCAGGGCACATGTCGTATTCGATATTGAACAAAAAAAAACACATCATAGTACGTGCAATGGATAACTATGTTTACAGTAAAAAAAATGGTATCATAATTGGTACCTGAAAAGAGAATAACATAAATATAACAGGACCATACTTATATATATTTTTTATTATTTTATTGTTTGCCTTCAAAGTGACTTTACCGAAAGAACCAAGAATATAGGATCATACTCTTTGGTTTTTTTCGGTAAAGTCACGTAGGTAAAATAAAATAAAACAACTAAATTAAATCACGTTTCGGAGGCAACACAAGCTTCCATCTTCAGGTGGAACAGTCACAGCAGAATATCTGTGTCAAGTGGACAGCTCTGAGACAGCCGGGATTATATACAGGTTAAGGGGGGGGGGGGAGCCAAGAAGGGACGTGGGTGGGGGGGGGGGCTGAGTTAAGCCGCCTTTTGTTATGCTGCAGGGGGTTCGGGGGGAGAGATACACGAGTACATGCAACCCACTGAAAGCAATGGAAATGGCTGTACAATTATAAGGCAGCTAACGTTTGACTTGATTTATAACATCTTTCCAATGGTTGCTAAATTTTAAACCATCCTCTCGGTTGAAGTTGTGTCTGTGTTTGTATATCTGGATGGCTTCATGGACAAATCTCTGGTAATAACCGGGAGGTTTGCAGAGAACTTTGGTATCAGAGAAGACAATGTCATGAGACAATGTCATCAAGTGCAATGAGTCTTCAATGTCATATATGTATTTGAATGCATCGCAGAATTCAATATGCAGATTGCCCGACTGAAGTATAATGAGTGTTCTCATTGTGTGGACATCTAACAGTTAGCCAAATGTGATAGATTTTACCCGCTGAAATCAATGGAAATGTGAAAATACATAAGCATTTGAATATCAAAAGGTTTGCACAGTGTGTCCTGGGTTTTTGTACGATTGAATGAGGCTATGTGAAATGCTAGCTGCTGTGTTTTTAATTGTTATTACGCCAAATGTGTGAGCAATACATAATCCATCAAACTATACACACCCACATATATGACCAGCAGCATGTATGTAAAATACACATATGGACTAGGGTATTTTCACTAAACCTACATGTGTTTGCCTGTGAACCCAGCAACTATATGGGAGGGAAGCTTTTTTCTCGTTAACATTCTTGATGATACTTAATTATTATTTTGTGTTACGTATTATGTAATTTGTGTCAAACTAGGACCTATTTCTTACAGAAATGGTCCATGCCCATAAACAACGGGCAATTCGCCAGCATAAATTTAAGCAAACCTGATTGCTGATGGACACTGAATGTTGAAACTGGTCCAGAGTTTGCTTTCAGATAGTCAAGTCTTGCATTAAGGGCAGGATAATTATTCATCCGAGCCTCAAAAAATGTCTTGTATTTGCCTGTTTGCAAATCAATCGTTAAAGCTAGACAACAAACTATGTAACATCATACCAATGAGGCTGTGTCCTGTAGATATGAAATGTTCAGTTACTGGTTTTGTGTGATCAGCAAAAAACCCAGGTCACCCTTGCAAAAAGAGGCAATGTTTAAATGGGTTTACAGTATTTCATTTCCTGGTTAAATCAAGGATACAAACACACAACTATTGGCAAAACCTCTCAGGTGTTCCCTGAATCTGTCTGCCGGCCTTCTCTGGGTTTCAGCAATGTGCATGGGCAGGGCATTTTCTGCATGAGGCGCAGTATGTACAGCACATTGGTCATAGAACATGAAAACTCACGATTTGTGTAGCTATTTTGTCTGTCAAGCCAATTTTTTGATGGATGTACAGCAATTTATGTGCAAAACTTAAACCCAGTCCACCACTACTTTTCACTTAATTTACAGAATTCCCTTAACTAGGAGGAGGTGGGTTAGTAATAGTATGGGGTTAGGATTTATCTAATCATGGCATTTTCATCTCTCATCATTTATCATTGCCATCATCATCATCATTTATCCATCATCATCATATATCATCCTCATCTGTCATCATTTATCACTCCATTAACCTTCATTGGCCATAATTATTATAATCACTGTCTCATCATTGTCACCATCACCTGCATACTCATCATGATCATTGCTTTCCTCTTTATCATTATCGTTGTTTTAATTCGTGCTTTTGTACACTTTGGGGGCAAACAGAACAACCCTCACGCATAAGCACATTATGCGCGTATGTGTTTGCATAGGTGCTCGTGAAGCAGAATTTGTCCCAACTGTCTGTGTAGGCTATACAGGGTATCTTTGTCTTTATGTGAGATGGACAGAATCTGATTGGTTGGCCAGGTCTGTTAGCGGGGCAAGCGTGTTGACGTCAATAAGCATGACTCCAAATCCTTCTCGACACTCCCCTTGGCTTAATGGGTTGGAGTAAAAAACTGCTCCACATTTTTTTACACAGTTCCTAATTGCAGGCCCAAATGCCCAAAGTTTTAAGCAGCCAGCAACAAACGGCACTATCAAAGTTGTAATAGGTAACATTTAACACGTTTCTGGAATTGAGAAAGAATATAAGAGCTTGGGAACAAAGTTGAACAGTAAGAGGAGAGAAAACAGAAAGACTTACAGTGTGGTGGTTGAACGAAGTGTGGATGAAGCAAAATACTTAGTCTGGTAGACCGAGTTCTCAATATGAATGAATGGGTCAATAAATAAACTTCACGTGAACATTGAGCAAAGTAGTAGCGATAGAAGAGTGATGAGGAAGCAACTGACCGCAACTGACTGGAGAGAATTTGTGAATGCCGGATCAATCAATCTAAATGTTTGTGATTGCGATTGTTAAAATGTATTGATGGAACCATCTCTCGCTGTAAACCTCAGTATTTCCTGATGGTGACCAGTTGGATAAAATTTTAAGATATTTCTTTCCTTTCAGTGGAAGTATATACAACACACTTTTATAATATTTACTAAACTATTATTTTATGTATAAGTTCACTGAAGCAGAAGCTTGATAATAGCCATGTCTAACATCTGCAGTTTCCAAAAATAAAATCTCGTTTTATTATCACAACTGCAATATTATAGCACTAAACACGTTCTGAATAAATTTATAAATGGTATTAAACAGAATATTGAGCAATGTATTCATTATATTTCTGTTTTAAATATAATTTTCTGCATCAGATCAATAAATGAAAAAATTACAAACACTATCTGCCATTACATGCTTCATGTCTATATGCAGATATTAATTCATCTGTCTTTTTACTCCTGGGTGTATAGATTTTTTTGAATGGAACCTAAATACATCCATTATAGCATTTTCCAGATGATTCGTATGTTGCCAGAACACCAGAAATGAAATGTTTTCTCTCTTGAAATAATACTTGAAGCCAAAAATATATTATTTTATATATATTTTTGTTTCCCTTCTACGTGACGTTACCGAAAGAACCAAGAATAATAAATTAGCAGTTACATTGGGGAAACGAAACGACATGTCTCGGACTGTGTTCGCGAACACAAGGCAGATTTGAAACACGGCAGAACCAATACCTCTGCCGTGGCTGATCACTGCTTGAACGCGGTGGGCTCACACGACATTGTCTTTTCCGAGATCAAGGTACTCTGCAAACCTTCGGGCTACCATCAAAGATTTGTTAATGAAGCCATCCAGATATATAAACACAGACATAACTTCAACCGAGAAGATGGGTACAAATTGAGCAATCATTGGAAGGACGTTTTTAACCAGGTAAAGACTTAACTGGTTGATGATGTTTCCATTTTACCTGCCATTGTCAGCAGTTATTTCCGACTCTCTGAGTTACATTACCTATTTACATTACCAAGTTAAATGTCTTTACATTATCGGCCTAAATGTCTCACTAATAAAGCCAACATTGCCCCTTTCCCTCGATGTGGCTGGTGGCTCTCGTTTTTTAGCAGACTATAACTGGCTGTGATGTTGTGTGTGTCTGTGTCTCTCTCTCTCTGTGTGTCTCTTTGTGTGTGTCTCTCGGTTTGTGTGTCTCTCTCTCTCTGTGTGTCACTTTGTGTGTGTGTCTCTCTGTGTGTAGGTGTGTCTTTCTGTGTCTCTCTCTATGGGTGTGTCCCTCTGTGTGTTTCTGTGTGTGTCTCTCTAGGTGTGTCTCTCTGTGTCTCTCTCTCTCTGTGTCTGTCTGTGTGTGTCTAGCTCTCCTTCCCTCGATGTGGTGTTGTCCCTCGTATGTTTCCCTCATTTTCTAACGAGCTGATGTCTCACGAGCACAGCCACCGCTGCGTTGGTTAGTTTACATTGACATGCTAATCTCTCACAATACAATGGCCACCTCCTCAGCTCTCGCATCAACCACAACCCTTCCCCCCCCCCCCATCTCGGTTCCCATCTTTGGATTTCCCACTCACTTAGGCACAATCTCTAGTCCCCACCATCTCGCCCGATGTGGCAACCCCCCTCTCTCCCCTAACAGCTCTATATATAAGGACTTGTTTCAGCAGCCTGTTTCTCCTACCTGAAGGCGATTGCTTGTGTGGTGATCGAAACGTCGTGATCTATTATTTTTTCTACCTACGTGACTTTACCGAAATAACCAAAGAGTAAGCATATAAAATGTGCATACAAATTCGATTCATCAAGGCAACATAACTAAATTTTTATTTAAAGCTTTCGTGACTGCAGGGATTCATATTCTTGGTTCTTTCGGTAAAGTCACGTAGAAGGGAAACAATATAATAATAAAAATATAAATCAATACAATTCTCACGACGTTTCGACTGCAACATAAGCAAACTAAGTCTAACGATTTATGTCTGGCCACAGGTGCTTCCAAATTTGGTAAGTAAATAAGAATGTATTTTTCCGAGATGTAATTACCATGGCCAATAAAAAAAGGTACATGTGTGGCTTTTATACAGAAAACAGCATGCGATGGCTCACTAGCTCTGACATTGCGATGCAACTCTTTCACGTCCAGTGAACGGTGTGATTTGATAACGCTCCATGGCATTACTGAGCCAAGGTCCGGTTTGCACCGCCAAACCCTTGCATTATGCCACTTCAGCAGCGACAATTAGGCTTAGTGGCTGAGCTATTGAATTTGCAGGTGGTGCAACTACATCAGAGTTCCACAGAACAGGGGGGCCCAGGCGGTGGCATAAAAAGAGTTGGGGAAATTGAAAATTGGACAGTGGAGGGCAATTACATTTTTTGTGGCAGGGTCCATACCAACCATGCTACGCCGCCCCCTTTAGCATCGGGGAATGGGCTGGAGGGGGGCTTAGCCCCCTGCTGAAGTCTCAGCCCCACTTCTAAAATTACAATAATCAAGTAAAAAAAATATCGGTACAATATTTAACACCATTGGTAGTTTTCCCTAATATACATAGGGTTTGAGAGCTAGAGCAGAATGCATGAAAGACAAAAGCAATTAATATCATTACTCATTCTGTTTAGCGTTCCACATTTGTTTAACATTGACTTTGTAATTTAAACATCGTCACGCCACAGAGCTGCACTCCGCCACTAAACTAGGCTGCGGTAAAACCCTAGACCGCCGGCTACTTACAGTCCTGACGCCAACGAGGATGTTGATGACTTCTCCTTGCAAGTTCTGGCCATTAGCGAGGATGTCAGAGAGTGTGTAGTAATCGTGGCTTTCCTTCGTGGGCAGGTGCAAGAGAGGCATCATACTCGAGCCTTCTTCTCCGGAGCACAAAGCCACAGCAGAGTGGTTTTCGCTGAGAGTCAGTTTGTAAGGGCTGAGGATTGTTTCGCACAGGAAAAATAAGATGCATGTGCTATAATTACATGGCATTCTTTTCAAAACGGCAACGACGTGACATCGTTGCTATTCAGGTGTCACACTGGTTTAAAAATATTTCAAGGAAAATGAGTACCAATTATTATTACAGTGGCAACTATTATTTTTAAATGTAATTGTAAAGTGTCAAAGAACAGGAGTCCATAATTAAACTGCTATAATAACAAAATGTTATTTTTACAGCAGGAAATCAGCTAACACTGATAAGCAGAGGCAAGGCTGTAATTAATATTTTTTAACAAATTATGCAACGACGTACAGATTATGCAATGCTGCCAATCGGTCCTATCTTATGTGTGAAGTTTTTAAAAACATATATAACATTTGCTTAGCATAGGCCAAAAGACCAAAAAACACCAAACGTCCAGCAACAAACTGCACTACTGAAGGTGCAATAGAGAAGAGTTTCTTCACTGTATTTCTTACATTGCACAAGGTTTATAAGAGATTGGGAAAATAAATCATGGGAGAGAATAGCAAAGGCGGGCATGTGTGGGGAAAGAAGCAAGAAGAGAAGTGATTTGACTTGCAATACAGTGAATTCTGATTTAAAGCTTTCGTGACTGCAGGGATTCATATTCTTGGTTCTTTCGGTAAAGACACGTTGAAGGGAAACAATAAAATATATATAAAATACAGTGGTTGAACATAGTCTGGACGAGATAGAAGTCGTGAGTCCTCAACGTGGCGCAGGAATCAATGAGTGAACTGTGACCCTGGTATTAGTGATAAAAGATTGATAAGGAGGTGAGTGACTGCCGGTGAGTGAGTGACTGGAACCAACCTGGTGAGTGCTGGTTCATCAATCAAGCCGACTGCTTTACGCTGAATTCCATCAAATGCAGCGAGATAGGAACTGGGTGCGCCACCCCATATATGTGATCCTTATGGTGGAACCCCAGGGTACCAAATAATACAAAATGGCCGAGGCATATAAATATTTTATTTCTGCGACACCATTTTTTCCAGGGGTGTACTTAACTCCGCGACTGGGGTACTAATCAATCCGAAATCAGCGCTACTCCGTGATGTCGAAACGCAGCGAGGACGCACCGTAGTGGTGTATCGTTTACAGCTCGTCGAGATGAGTCGATTGCCGCATCGCCGACCATCAACAGACTAAAAATTACTGCATCACGGACATTATGCAAGAGCCGGGGTACTATGCTACCCTGGGATACCACCATGAGGTTCAAATAACAAAAAATATTCCAACTTAGGCCAAATAATGTTTTTAATGGCAGCAGTCATTGAAATACACAATAAGGTAGCTTATGTAATGCCTGCTCATTAATATTTCACACACAGTACCTTGGAGTCCATGGCCTGAACTTCTCATCCTGTTCGATATCCTTGGTTCGGACAAGGGGATTCTGGACTTTCACTTCAGACAGAAACAAAAATAGCAATCGTTAAAGAATACACAAATCCAAAATACAAATAGGTATAATGTCATATACGTACTTAGGTTGTGTAACAGATTTCCAAATAGGTTTGAAGCTGTGTTAGTAAGAAAGAATGTTACATTGACTTTCAGGAACACTACTAAATCGCCTATAATGCCACAACAGTGACATATTAAAAGGTACACCGCAGTGATGTTCCCGGACTGTTCAAGCAATGAAACTTGATTTGAAGCTTTCGTGACTGCAGGAATTACTCTTTGGTTCTTTCGGTAAAGTCACGTAGAAATAAAAGTAATTAATTAATTGAATACGACGTTTCGATTGCAACACAAGCAATCGTCATCTCTCTCAAATTTAGTTATACCTGATGACGATTGCTTGTTTTGCAATCGAAACGTCGTATTCTATTATTTAATTTATGTTCAAGTAATGCTCTTGGAAACTCACTTGAAAATCATTTTTTCTTATGAACTTAGCTTTTTTCATCATAAAGAAAGCTTTGAATACGTGTCACAGTCCAGGTTACAAGCCTAGGTACATACATAAACAAAATAAAGAGCAATGTTTCTTTGAACTATATTTTCCTCTAATGCTTAAGGCACATTTAAAGTGTGCAAACTATTAGTCTCATGAAATTTAAACGTATGCTTTTTTTTTTTACAAAAGTTACTTACCAACTTCTCCAATCCTGAAGCTTCTTGAGAGGTTGTGAATGAATATATCGTCGCCCCAACATTCCACATTAATAAAATAGTTTGGGGAATCCCGCAAAACAAAATCAAAGGTGAATCGTTCTTTCTCAGGACCTGCAGACTCACGCAAATCAAAAAAGCTTGACGTGAGCACTGCGAGATTTGAACTATACGAGTAAATCATGTTTGTATTTTTTACCCCAGATTATATTCCAATTACGCTGCTATCGACGTCAGATGGAAATGTGTCCAGGGCATCACCGCGTGCTAGTAAACAGGCTCTGCAAGATGTTATCATGGAACTACTTTCAAGAGTCCCTTCAATCACTTTTTAGCCATGCTAGAGGTGCTGCATTTTATCACATACACTCATATTAATATAGTATAGAGATGTTCCTCGCATAGCAGCGTACTGCATGGGAGCCGAAGTGTAAATCGTAAATGATGGCAGTCAAATGGTGAAAGACAATGTGAATTCCTATTGCATCTAAATGTCACCGCATCTCAAGATGCTCTACAGAAAGTAGACATATTTATTTGTAGAAAGAATTTGGCAGTCATAGGCAGAGTAAAAAAGAAAGGTCTTGAATTCTAGATTTGAAGCTTTCGTGACTGCAAGGATCCATACTCCTTGGTTCTATTCGGTTTATTTTTTACCTACGTGACTTTACCGAATAGACCAAAGAGTAAAGGTCTTGAACTTGGACTTGAACATGTGCAGTAAGTTGACAGCACGAATGGCTGAGGAAATAACATGGTTAACAGTAGCCTTGTTACCAAAAAATGCTTATTTAAAATGATGACTTGAAAAAATACCAAATAAAATTAAACAAATGTAATATGATGGGGGTTTTTTGTGTATGTGCAGCCATTGCTGGCTAGGGTGTTACTATCAACTCACTACACGACAGAATCAAGTTTAATCATGGGTGGGTGAAATCCAGATGTGAATCCAGAATGTGGTGCCATCTCAACGCAGTTTCAGCCCACTGAGCCATTCTGCCACCTCCATGAGTACATTTGCAATAGTGATATTATGGTCATTGTGAAAAGTGTTGCAAATACTCAACTTTTTCGATTTTGAAATCCTTTTGGATCAGTTTTCCCAAGAATGACACCTATAATTGTCTAAGATGAAAACAGCACCATTATTTTAAGGATGACTGCATTCTGCACTGTTATACATATTTCAGTACACGTGAAAATGCAACACTGACATAAATACAATTGAAGTTTTCGTTATTCTTCGGGTTGTTGGCATTGCCTGGCAACACACATCATCATGGGTGACAATAGCCCATGCACACACAAACAAGTAATCACGATGATTTATGTAAGATAAAGTGATATAGCGTCATTACAGGTAGAACAGATACAAATGAATCCACGTACTACATTGCCATAACCTGGCAAACCAGGTGATTGTGACACTGACGCCCACGGGAAGGGAGGGAGTTTCACAAATGTTTGTGTTCCACCAACCCTCGCTGCCAAAGTGCTGGATTACACGCGTGTACCACCACTGCCAGACCAATACAGATATTGGTTTATGCAGTGAGGCTTCACTTGGTGTGTAAGCAGAGTTTGGGTATGTGAGGTAAAACCTTTGTTGATTCCCATATTAATAACATTTGCTCATGTGTGTGTTGGCCAACCTCTGGCAACTTTAGCCATACCAACTTTGCAATAGATCAGAATTAAATGTGTAAACCAAATTATATTATTGGGAATGTACATATCAGCCTAAATAACGTTTATATTTCTTAGAGGCATCTATGTACACTGGCATTCAGACAAATAATTTGAGAAAACCTTTGAATCCATAATACAGGTTTTTTTTTCTTCAAAATAATAAATTGGCCTAATATTGTGGAATAATAAGAATGTGTAAAGCACATGTCATCCAAAGATCCCAATGCTAACTTGCCAGGTGGCCCAGTTTGTAGAGTAAGCGGCTCATAATCAGAAGGTTGCGAGTTGGCTTTGCCCATCATCCTTCTTGGGTGGATAAAACAAGTACCACTTGGTTGGGATGTCAACAGTGGTTCTCCGATTGAGACTCGCCCCCGCTGTAGGATTGAGGAATTTCCACCACTGACTTCAGACTTAAACAGAGGATAAGCACCGCCTCAATACTAATTCACAGACCAGCTCTGCACATTGTACACGCCACACTGGCTGTTGTATCATTAAAACTCTGGAACTAACCGAATTACTCTATAAATCGTCCGTGATTGAAGATTGTCAAGAGCGCATCGGGTAAGTAATAAATAAATGCATTTTGGATATGAGAGTATGGATTTCCACATGAAATGAAAGTGCACGGGGCTTAGTTACCCTTCCAATCCACACCGTTCTCACACCGTCTCAATGTTCCAGCATACCCCCCCCCTCCATCCCATGATTTATAAACCCAAGGTCCTGACCATACCAACGCGTGCAGTGCCCAACAAACGTAAATTATAATAAACGCGCGAGCTTGCTTACAACATTCATTGCACCAGAGTGCAGTTCTTCAATGGCAGTCCTGCTTGAAGGTGTTGTTCTGTAAGTCATTGTGCTGTCCACCACCGCCAACCTCCACTTGCAGTAGAAGCAATCCTAACACCTGGTTCATTTGTAAGTGAATATCACAATTTGCTCGTCATTAATACAGCTCTAAAGAGGGCAACGTATATTGAATGCTGGACAACGCACTGCACCGTCATTACATACAGATGCAGGACCATATATGTTTCCCCTCTTTTGGTTAGACATTTCTTTTAGCGATTCTGTTGTTGGCAGTGGTGCGCAAATTAAAACAAAAACCGCAATACATGTCAATAACAGTGCCAGAAAAAATAGATGTATACCGTATGTAAAAATAGGAGACATTTCAAGCAATGGTCCTCATTAATAGTAGAGAAGTGCCATCGCCCGAAACGTCGGCTACCATGTTTATTATATACTTTACTATTTAGGGCAGTGTTACTACCAAATGTGGAGGGTTATTTTTTTGGTAATTCGTGCATTGAATTGCACTTATACAGTGGCCCCCTTTCGTCAATCGACTAGCGGACGAAGCGGTGTCTTACCCACGCTTTGCGAATCGCGCGAGGCCGCTTGACCATACTTCACCAGGCGGGCATACCTGTAAACCCATGCGATTCACTCCGTATTCTTTTACCACAGGGAAATTGAGTTTTCAGGTCCCATACGGCGTACGGCCGTTTGTCAATGCTGGCAAAACATTTCTTTGCGTCTATTTGCGTTGTGTTTCTTCTCCCTTGTGATGGGACTTTTGTTGGATGAACGTTGAGATTTATAAGGGGCACGGGGTGACCAATAATGTCTGAATTGGTGTGTAATAAGGTAGGGCGCTGATTAGGGTTTGACAGGCATGCTTTCGTCAATAGGCTACTGGACGAAGCGTCGCACGCACGCACGCACGCTTTGCTAATCGTGCGAACCATTTTGACCATACTTCACCACGCTGGTCCGGTGCGTGTTGAGCGCGGAGCACAGATGAGTACGTTACAACGCGCTGCCCACCACGTAGTGTAGCAGATGTGCAATTATTGGTGGTTGTTCGCCCGACCGAGCACCATCAAGGCACCGCCTTGCTTAGCTTTGTGAGATCTGGTGTGTTACGGCATCATTTGGTCATATAAATAAAATATACATCAATATAGTAAGCCTTCATTCTACATTTGAAGTATTCGTGGCTGCAAGGATCAATAATCTTTGGTTCTTTCGGTAAAGTCACGTAGGTTAAAAAAAAACTAGATAGAAGAAAACAAAAATGAAAACAACTAAATTTTTCATTTAAATAAAATAAAAATGAAAACAACTACATTTTTCATTTTTTGTTTTATTCAATTTAATTTTTACCTTGAGTGACTTTATCGAAAGAACCAAAGAGTATATAGTAAGCTTTATAGATTACAGAAAATGCACGTACCATATATTATTCGTATAGGCTACAGTTTATATATATATTATATCTAACTTATTGTGTATACACACAGATGCCATTCTTCACCACCAAGTGGGAATGACGGTGCTTGTGCCAGGCTAGGTGCACACGAATGCCACGTACTTACGGGTGAAAATAAAACACGTTTAAGAACGAGCTTCAGAAAAGTTACCTCAAAGTGCTGTCGAGACTTACGTTTAAATTCGGTTACGGTAGATGTACTGCCGTTGTGAGGTAAAAACATTAGCATTTAAAGTGATTTATCCAGCTGCATAAAACCCACGAAGGGAAACGTCCCTTTATATTTAGAAGTAAAAATGAGGAAACATTTTTTTAACGACCACCGTATTAAAATGCAGCAAGGTTTAAAGTACGCATTGTCTCCAATATCGTAAAGAATAGTTTTTAATATGCTCGATACTTACAACAGCCAATGGAATGCAGCAGCGTACTTGTATTTACAGCTTCATATACAAACACAGCTGTGAAAAAAATCTCGCCGTTTATTACTTACGACGTACACAACAGAGTCACGGTATGCAAACAATAATAATCACAAGATTCCTTCGTAAATATTTTGTTTAAATTGTTGTCAACCAAAGGAATGCACGGGTTAAACGCACGTCGTTGCCTTGGCGACAGCTCTCGTTTCCCGCCAAAATGAGACGTCACCACCGGTGACGTCACCGCCACTCATCAATCCGCCTCAATCACAATCCTTGATTTAAGACTGCGGGAGGAATCCGATGAGCTATGAAGCTCTTTAAAAAAATCTATAAGCTCACAGACATCTAGTATGATGGAGGGGGGGTGGGGGTGATCAGCAAGTTACGACAGCAAACAATACAAGAAGAGAACAAAACGATAGGAGTGCAAAAAAATATTAGATAACATGGTAATCAATTCCTTAAAAGTAAAGAACAACAAAGCAGTCCCAGACCCACAGCAAGATAACAAACAGCCCCTCAATAGTTGGAGGTTGCAGTGCAGACCAATCAAATTGCGAGAAATTTGCGGGAATCGTTCACATTTACAAGGAGCGCGCACGCTCCCCCCCTCAAAAATCGCGGGAAAAAAACAGCATCAGCAGTCCATTAATAGATACCATCGCGAGGATGATTAAGTTAGAAATCAATTAGAAATTACCATACCTGTCAACCCCTTATTATCAGTGCCATACCTTAGGAGCCGTCCATAAATGACGTCAAGCGATTTTGGACGATTTTTGACCCCCCCCCCCCCCTCGTCATACGGCGTCATAAAAAGTCAGACCCCCCTCAAATATGACGTCACAAAGCTCTGCCTCCCCAAAATATATATAAAACATGCTTCAAATCGCTTTAAACTATTGTCATTGTAGTGCGTATCTAATGTGGCGATGCACTCTGATGTTGTAGGAGAAAACATTTATTAAAAGGTCTATTGAATTAAGTAGAACGTGTTGTCTATATTTATTTAAAGTTGCGCATTTTGATGTGACGTCACATTTCTCACCCCCCTCCCCACCCCCTCGTCACACATCGTCACAAATGTCTGACCCCCCCGCCCCCCCCCCAGGTGCGTGACGTCATTTATGGACGGCCCCTTATTACAGACTAATTCTGACCTTATTGGTCATCCCGTGCCCCTTATAAATCTCAAAGTTCATCCGACAAAGTCTCCATCACAAGGGAGAGAAACACAAATAGACAACAACAAAAAAAGTTACCCGTATCGAAACGGCCGTACGCCGTACGGAGCTGGAAACTCAATTTCCCTGTACAAGAATACGGGTAAACGGTATGGGTTGACATATATATAAACGACAGCGTTCTCCAGATTGTAAGATTGCTCAGGTTATAAAAGACGCGCCCACGAAAAACTGTGCCCAGCATTAGCCGGTGGTCAGTGCGCGCTGGTGAGCATAAATGTGGAAGCGCACAAGTACGGTACAACGATGGGTTTTTGCATTGCCTTCGACTGGAAACGACAAACAACAAAGTTACTTAGAGGCCGCTCTCCTAGCTTACTTTTACATGCTAATTTCTCGCATTAACATAGCCACTTCCGTGCCCTCGTTTAGGAGGCAACTCTCTTCCTATCTTTACAGTTACATGCTAATTTCTCGCATTAACATGCTAATTTCTCGCATTAACATAGCCACTTCCGTGCCCTCGTTTAGGAGGCAACTCTCCTCCTATCTTTACAGTTACATTATGATCACTGTTACATTGCATTTATGGCTTTATTTTGGTGATTTCTAAAAGTTTTTTGGTTTGGCCATGTTTTTGTTTATTGTAGTACGGAGTTAGACTGATGGCCTTAATCTAAGTTTTCTTGTTGTTGATGTTTGACTTGCATCCCACTGGTATTTTTGCACAGTGTTGGTGTACGGTGCTATTTCAGTAATATTTTGATGTTTTTTCCTGGATTTTGTGTTTGCACATGCACAAAGTCACTTTAAGATGTTTTCTTGTTCATGTTTTTATTTTTTGTTTGTTGCGGTTGCACCCGATTCAAGAGCCGAATGGCTCACAGGGCTATACCTAATAAATGAAACTATGAAAATGAAACTTTGAAACATGCTAATCTCTCACATTAACATCACTAGCCCCGCCCACTTCTTTATGACCCTTTGGCTACACCCATTTCAAACCTTTTCAAAACAGTCTGCCTCAGCAGCAGACCATCGCTTTCCCACCTGATGATGGACGCTTGTGTGTTGCGCCTGAAACGTCGTGATTTATTTTATTTTCCACCTACGTAGACTTTACCGAAAGAACCAAAGAGTATGGATTCCTACAGTCACGAAAGCTTCAAATCGAGATTGGCTGTAGATTTAACTATTACGCTCAAGATACGTTGCATCTGATTGTGCGCGAAATAATTATTCGATTTGTGCAATTTATGCGAGAATAATGTTACGTGATAAAATAAAACAATACAAAGACATTGAAAACTTAGTTTACAAAGAGTCGCAAGTTTGACATGGCCTCTGGTCCAAGGATATTTAAGTGGAGTCCCCCGTCCACATATCCCCAGGTTTTTGTAGTCCAGGGTCTGGGCCCCTTCTAGCCCACAGGCCCTTGTGAAGTTTAATTTCCTGCACACTTCAATTTGCACGGTTGGCTTACGTACGGGGATAAGTTCAACATACAATACATACATAAACTCCATTATGTCCACCACTTGGGCTGAATTGTTTCAACAGGTCTCTTTCGAGTAGTCTGGATTGCAGGGTTTTTCCTTAACATCAGAGCATCTCACGTTCCCGAAGACGAATAAAAAAAGTAGAATCTTAATTTTACCATGATTTATTGAAAGCACATTACGCACGCACAAAAAGCGGTACATTTTAAAGAGAAATACCATATCCATACGGTACACTTGATATTTTACGTAACATACTCATAATAAAAGACTGCTGATGTTAAATCAATGCGCTCGTAAAAATCTAAGTGAACCAGCGTGCTCATACATTTCCAAGGGTCATCAATTCCTGATGTGTACAATTAGGCACTGCCTGTTTATCAATGCACCGCTAGTTGAAGGCTTCCGCACACTGCGTACCATGGGGATTTGTTTTCACCATACTTCACGTTGGTCGGTGCGGTTTGGAGAAGGGGGGACGGGAGGCTCGGAATCGGTTCAGCTATCACTCGCCACCGATGTTGCTAAACATTATTCCCTGTAAAAAGGTTTGAGTTTTGTTGCCGGTAAAAAAAGGGGGAAAAACCGTATTCCTAACATAGATCACGTTTATCATATATATTTACTACTGTCAACCACAGCTATTAAACACCACCACGTTAGAATGTGGCATAGAATAATTATCGTACGACGAATCATTTACAGCGCTTTGTCAATCCAATGCTGGAGGAGGGCTTTTGCACGGTGTTTGTCATGGGGGCTGTTTCTAGTCAAACTTCACCACACTGGCCATTACGGGTTGGTGGAGGCAGGGGCGAGGGCTGAGATATCACTCGTCACTGATGTTAACCATGACTTGGAATCGAACTCATGATGCCGGGTTCACAGCGCAGCGCGTAAACTACAGTGCCACTGCTTCCCCCCCCCCCCACGCACATTGCCGCAAGAACCCTCCCCCGAGTAAAAAGAGCAAACGTACATCAGAATTACCTCAGGGTTAAATCTGCAAGACTATTGAACGCATTTCTAAACTCTTAAAAGTCAGACGATTATGTTTCCACAGCAATTCTAGATTTGAAGCTTTCGTGACTGCAAGGATCCATACTCTTTGGTTCTATTCGGTAAAGTCACGTAGGTAAAAAATAAAATAACAAAAATCACGACGTTTCGGCCATAACACAAGCGGCCTTCATCAGGTGAAGGGACCAGACTGTCTCGAGGACAGTGCTGGAGTGAACACAGCCAAGCTCAGACCGCGACCTTTAAGCTGTGTGAGAGAAATTAAGGTGCCTTGACAAAGGAATTAGCATAAAAAATTAGCATTTAATTGGCCGACTTAGCATGATGAACGGTGTAGAGGTGGTGTACATGCGGGTGAACATGCCGGTTGGCGAGGGGGGGAGGGGGAGTTTACCTATTGATGATGTGAAAAGGGAATTTTAAGAGCTGCGAAAGTTTGGGGTACCACTACTTTAAAAAATATACTGTACCATTGAAAATTAGTTTAATGTTTAGTTCGATTTAGAACATCTTTCCAATGGTTGCTTAATTTGAATCCATCTTCTCGGTTGAAATTGTGTCTGTGTTTGTAGATCTGAATTGCCTCGTGAACAAATCTCTGATAAAAACCCGTGGGTTTTCAAAAAACCTTGGTATCGAGAAAATTATATCGTGATCACCCACAGCGTTGTAACAGTGATCAGCTACGGCAGACTAATTCGTTCTGCCGTGTTTCAAATCTGATTTGTGCTCGCGAATTCGGTCAGAGATATGTCGCTTCGTCTCCCCGATATAGCAATCACCGCAGGTACAACTCAATTTGTAAACCCCGGGGTACTGTAAGTCAGGAATGGCACAGCAGTCGAATTTCTCTGAAAATTATTACACAGTTGATTATGACAAAAAATAACGCTGCCAACATCACAGCTGCGTGATTGAGTAAATAGTCAGACCTACAGTTAGCTACATTATCACAGCAGAAGTGCCTAATTGAATTTCCATATCACAGCCAGAGTAATCAAGTTTATTATGTAAGCTAATAAGAAAAGTTATTCTGTATTAAAATTAGTTTCCTTTTGAATAAACTTTTTTTTATCAATCTTGATTGCTCTTCTTTCTTTCGGCAAACTTTAAAATGATGGGTTCTTTCGGCTCGAGTAGTCCTCTTATGCCAATTTCAGCCGGGATCTGCAAGAGGCAATAATGAAAAACAATGCAGAACACACTCGCAATGAATTCATCTTGGGCCCTGTAAAAGTAGGAGTGTGTGACTGTACGTCGAGATTGTCTACGCGATTCAAAGAAAGCATGAACCATTTATTTTTTATCACAAGTTACGTATATGTATTTTGTGAAGTTGTTTCAGATTGGGTTTTTTCGCATACCAGATTTGTTTAGATTTTTAAGGCTGATTTCAGACCTTATATCAGATTCAAATTACACTAAATGAAATAACTGGAGACATTCATCGTTTCATTTAGAAATTTAACACAAGGCTTGCTCAGTAAAGCAATCATTATAATGTCAACATTTTGTACATTTAAATAATTTTGACAACATTTTGAGCCACGTTTGGTCGAAGTGATGTTGCGTGAGGGCAGTTTTCAGCAGGAAATGCATCATGGAAGTAACACCACGAACGTGACGTCACTTCTTGTGTCGCCATAACTTCGGGTCAATCCAAAACCAATTTTTATTTCCAGATCGTCCTAAATTTAATCTGGAGACCCGATTTTCGGATTTTTTTCTCGTAAATCCAAATATCAGGAACTCGTCCCTAAATATATATACAATCCTGTAAGCTGTATTGCAACACAGCAGCAAGTGGAAATTGCATTAGGCCGTACGTTGTTCATGAAAATTGAAAGTGTATTTTTTGCAGATTCTTTTCACGCCCGTGAATGTGTGCCGCTGCCCACGAAGGTGGGGGCGGTGGCGGGAGCGGGGGGGGGGGTGTGGAAATTTTTGGTTATATAACTGTCAAAATTGCATGTGGTCTGCAACACTGTGGTAAGATTTAACTTGTTTAAAACCGAGTTCTTTCTTACCTTTGTCTCTGGGCAAGTGACGAATGTGAAACGCCTCAGCAGGCTCACGATGGCGATCTTGACGTTGATGAGAGCAAAACGCATCCCAATGCAGTTTCGGGGCCCGGCGCCAAATGGCAAATAGCAGTACTGGTCCCTCTGCTCTCTGGCCTCCTTGCTGAATCTGTCCGAAATCGAGATCAACAACAACAAAATGGGACTTGTTTCAAGCTTCCACTGTAAACTCCAACGTAATAAAGTTTCTTTGTTCCTTCATTCCACAATGCTCAATTGCGCCTGTGGTCGACACGCACATTTACGGTTTGTAAAATCAAGAGAGATTTCAAAACGGCATGGGGGGGGGGGGAAATAATGAAGACCTTATTTATAGGGAGTTCCCGGTAAACGTCGCCACGAAATACGTTGTTTTGCACTCACAGAAAAAAACACAAATTTGTCCACACACTTTGCTGCAACGCTTTCTCCATGGTGAGCCGGTGTACGTCGTCACCTGCTCGACGCCCACGAGAATTGAGTTTCACAACATCCGTGCATGATCCACCAAACCTCGCTGCTGCCGCCACAGCGCTGGATTTACAAGTTAGCCACGTGCAGGAGCGCAGCCAAACCGAAAAAACGACTCAGTCGGATCGGCTGTGAGTTATTACCGTTCAGGCCGGAACGCCGTGGGGTCATCCCAGTGCTCCGAGTTACGGTGAATCACAAACACGGGAATGCCGATGACCGTGCCCTTGGGAACAGGGATGCCTCCCAGCTCCACGTCCATCTTTGCAATACGTTCCAGCCTCCCGGCTGGCGGGTACAGACGCAGAGACTCGCTAACCACCATGTCCAGGTAAGGCAGCTGGGACACCTTCTCATAGGTGACCTCCTCCTGTAAAAATCACAAACAAAGACAAACAACCCCCCCCCAATCCCCTGTATAGCTTCAACAGACTGTTGGGGTAAGCGCTGTTAGCGAGTAGCAGCTATGAAGGCCTGCACGGCACACGGAGGGGTGCATGACCAGCACCACGCCCGACCGCCTCTGTCTCCCCAGTGGCGATGTTTAACGCATCGCACCAGGTGCTCATATGAGGCGGAGTCAACATATGAGAGGCCCAGGATCGGTTCACATAATCGTGACCAGTGTTGGCCATAGGCAGGGATCGAACTCACTACCGCGCCCCAAACATGAGCACATGCCGTCCACTGGTTAGACAAAAATTGGTACTACATGAGGTAGCAAAATTCTGTAGCAATAAGGAGATGATGATGTATGTTGAACTTCTTTCACACCATACATAGCCAACCGTGCTAATCGGAGGTGCGGGGGGAAGGACAACAAACTAAACACAAAAAGCAGTTCTAAAGAAATTCGTTTTCAATCTAGATATCGGAAGGAAGAGCGTCCCAGACGGCCGCAGAAGCGCATCTGAAAGCGCGCGATGCGGCGACCGTCTTTGTTCGACGGCTAGCCAAGAGCCGCCGCTGCGAGGATGACCGGAGTTTGCGTGATGGTTCATGCTCCTTGACAGGGTCAGCGAGGTACTGTGGTTCATATTGTGGCTTGCACTTAGTGTCTAATGAGCGCGACCTTATCATGTGTTCGTTCGGCAACCGGCGAGTGCCGGACGAACACGGTGTCGGATCGTGCAGTGCCCGTCACGACACGCGCCGGACGAATGTTGCACGCAACGCCGCAGCCGGGCAATGTTTTTTTTGATGACCGACCTCGGGCGGCAACGTGGCATCGATCTCCTCTAGGAGCTTGTCCTGCACGTCCACGTGCACGGCCAGGTTGTAGGCGATGTAGGTGAGTGTCACGGCCGTCGTCTCGTAGCCCGCCAGGAGGAACACCATCGCCTGGGACAAGATCTCGCTGTCCGTCAGCGCTGTAATCCGACCAAGGCACGCGCGGACGGAGCCGCCGGGTCACGTGGCGTAACCGTAAATTCGTACAGGCGCTCGCAAGTCCGATCGTATCGCACGCCGTCGCCGCCGCTGCAGAACCACGCGCGCTGTTATTGCTCTCCGGTGACTTACGTGCGCACCGGGACTTTCCACAGGCGTACACATATCCGACTATTACCACATATCCGCCAGTCCCCAGCGAGTCGGAATTATGCGACGCTGCATGGCACTGTACATTTCAATGAAAGCAAAAAAATAGATAAGTATTTTTGTTACGTTTGCTTGATGTTTTGCTTTCAAATTGGACATGGCCGTTTTACCTTTGTACGGGATGATGCCACCGTGCTCGTCCATCACCGAATCAGAAATCTGAGCATCGACCATGGTCTGCAGGAAGTCCACCCTGTCCTGTGGGGCGGAATCACAGAATCACAGCCACCGATGGGTGTCCACACGTGCACGACATGCGCGGGGCAGATCTCCCGCTCCGTGGCTTCCACATATCAAAATTGTAATACTTGTCGTGATATATCACATCACTCCTGGTCCCCCCGCCCCGCTGACTGGGCCCTCAAGATTGCTGCTCCCCGTTCGTGCAGTTAAATCCGGCCTTGATATCACTTAATGCCACACGCGGGGCAATTTACGTATATCGCACAACTGCAGCCGGGTCTCCCCTTTGCAGCCGTATCTTTAAGATTTAAAACGTCGGCACGGCGTAGCAACGGGAACGCGTGCGCGCGCGACGATTATTTGAATGCCGACCTCCTTATTAACGTCTGCAAACTGCACCGTGGAGATTTAAAAAAAAAAAACATTCGGAATGCGCGATGCGTGCCGTCGCGCTACGCCCGCGGCTCTTAATTAATATTACGGAAGAGAGTTTTGCCGCGCCGCGTACAAATGAAACGTGAACGGCCGTTTGTCTTCGTTGACGCGGTGTGGTTTTTTTTTCAGTGCACAATTGTCATTAGTCTCTCACGCTGAAAGAGACGTGCCGAGCTACGAAAGGACAATTCGCGACGTAATCTTATTCATGTGGACGAACGTACGGATGTGCATTTAGAGCGTGCCTAAACGTTTCACCGCGAAACTCAACGCATCATTACGTCACATCTCAATCATTCCTCCAATGCCCTGCCGTTTGTTAAGCCCCCATGTGGCAGCTGTCGCTGTGCAGTACAAGTTGAACTCAGCACTACTAAGTGGGCATTATGCATGTACGTTGAACTTCTTTCGGACCGTAGGTAGCCAACCCAACGTTGACCCAACGTTGACCCAACGTTCTTTTTTCTTTTTTTTTCACTGGGCTGATCCATGACCTACCGTGTGCTCGCCCTTGCGACGTTCACTCTTCAGGCGTTGCAGGTTGGACATGAAGAAGGATAAAACGTCCTTGGGAAACATGCTGACGTTCATCCGGACCAGCAGCGGGGTGACGGCCGGGAAGAAGACTGCGCCGCGAGGGGATAAACGCACGTGAGAAAGAGCATCGCACCGATCCACGCGTGTGCACAGTTGTACCTCCTGGTTTTCGATACAGCTACTGGGGCGCCACAGTGGAGAGATGTTAACTTCCTCGCCTGGTATGCAGGAGGTCGTGGGTTCGATGCCGACTCTGATGCTTGTATATTTGGAGATCACGTGGATTTTTCTTCGTTTCTCCACATTTAGAATCGACGTGCGTTTAGAGTACTTGGCTGCTATAAATTTGCACGTGATGATAAGCCGCTTCATTGAGCCATTTGTGGCCAGGTCGCTTCTGAAAGCAGAGCCATACAGCTCAGTGTGCCTTACCTGGTAAAATAAAACAAATTGCTTGAGTACTATTATCAAACGCGACGGCCGACCCCCAAAGCACAGACAACGTGAATGAAGAGGTAAACGTGCAGCCCTGAAAGTGCTCGGTCACACCATTTCTGGCAGAAGTGCCTCCACTAAAAGGCTGGTTTTGCCTACTCTTCCACTCTGGGCAGACGTCTTGTAAGAAGCGTAAGTCACCACTTCCTTGCCCCAACACGATCGACCACGGACAACCTGTGGTGTTACCCATTCATAGCTGCCGGGTGGACGGGGGGCGGGCGGAGGGATTGAGAAACTTGACCCCCTTGTGTCAACTGCCGCGCCCGTACTGTGCATTAGAACCGGCGGCCTGTGCGTTGTCCAGCGTGCTGACCACCATGCCACCCCACAGCGGCACGTCGATTCCACGTGCGTCGGAAAGCATGTACGCACGTACGTTGAACTTCTTTCGCACCGTACGTAGCTATCGCGCCAATCGGAAGTGCAGGGAAACGACAACAAACTAAACGCAAAAAAAAGCCGTACGCATTGAACGTGATTGGCTACCCCGTCGGCATTTTACATCTGATAACTTTGCACGAAAGTGCTGTTATTCCCAAATGAGATTTTTTTTTAAATTTTATTTCTTTAACTTCCAACCTACCATTACCATTATTTCATTGTAAATCCCGTGACATCCACAATGGCTCAGACGCTAATGAGACCCACAGGGGTGAGCCAGGATCCTTGGTGAAAATAGTCAACTAACCATTGGCCCAACAGCTGTTCTGGTTTATTCGGCGTACCGAAAATTAATTAATTCTGCTCCAAAGGCCATCATTTTAAGTTGCTGATGTACGATCGAATTAGCCGATTGCTACAGTGGCTTTTAACGGGTGGTACAGTTGTGCTAAATCTTTCTCCGCTGTTTGGTTAGAACCCATTTCAAATCGGTAGCTGTAAACAAAACCAAAAAATATAAATAGCACATTTGCTTTTATGACACAGTGCTCCCCGGCAACGCATGAATGAGTTTGCATCGGATTTATTGCTTATTTTGCGTTCAACGGAGTCCCATAGTTTATACGGTGTGCTCTTACCAATAACATCTGTTGTCCCAGTGGCATTTATTAAACGGGGCCGACTCTGCTGATGAGACTCATCAGAAGGCTTGGAACCGGTCCAGACTTTTCTTGCTTTAACAAATGCTGCTTGATAATACCGGTCGACAGACCCAACGGGCCGATGGGACTCAATACATATTTGAATTTTTGAGACAGAAATACGTTCTGGTTAAAAAAAAAAACACTTTAAAAAAAAGATCCCATTCTGCTCACCTCATGCTCACCCTTCAGCGGTGGGTGGTGCTGGTCTATCGCGGGCCACAAGGAATACGTAATATTTTTACAAGATCGCCAGCGAGATGGCAGAAGTGACAGAGACAAGTGGCGGAGAAGTTGGTCGGATTAATGTAGACATAAGGTGGAGATGTAGAGAGTTGAGCGAAGGGAGATGCAGGCAGACAGGACAAGAGATAAGAGGATGTTATTCAGCTTGTTACGTTTTCTTTGGTTCTTTCGGTAAAGTAACGTAGAATGAGAATAAAATAATTAATTGATAAAATAAAATAAAATAACACATTCTCATTCTACATGACTTTACCGAAAGAACCAAAGAAGATGAATCCTTGCAGTCACGAAAGCTTTAAATCGAAACTCGTTACGTTTGTACGGACTTCAATTTTTAGCGGATTTTTGATGCACGCTTTTGCTTGCTTTGCTGATAGAGCGCCACCACCACCACCACCACCCACCCACCCACAGCACCCACCTAACAACAAGGTGGGACGTAAATATAGGTCGACCCGTGGGAGAAGCCTCGGGCCTGCCATAAGAATGTGGAATTTCTTTCCGATGACTCGGGGGCCAATGAGAGAAATGGGCACTGCACGATGCTCATCTAAGCATGAGCACGGGGACACTTAAAAGACGTTGGCCTTTTTTTTGTTTTACTTGAGCCAATGTCAGTGTAGCGTACCACAGCCTTTTTTTACGTTTGCCCCTGGCTACCATTGCGTTTTACGGCGTTGCCGGTGCACTCATCTTGGATGATGCAATATTCGTTTAACGTTTTCTTGTTGTTGCAGCAGCATTACTTCAGGGCCCTACGCAAGAAAATCTGGAGAAAAAACATTAACACCGCCAACACCCCCCCCCCCCCTCCACCGCCACCACCACCACTACTTGGGAAATTTCCAGGTCCGCTTCCGATGCTGACTGCTGACGCAACAACATAACCCTTGCACTGAGAGCCCAACGCCTGACTTTTGCCTCACCTCAGGTCATGCTAACAAATGAACCCCCCCCCCCACCGCCTCGCCAACAACAAAGAAACATTTACAGCCACAGCGCCGCAAGCCCAGGCCCGGGGAGGCGCGGCGCAAACAGATGGCGCCGGACGTGTTTTATCGCGTGGAACTTGGAACGTGGGACCGTGTTTTGATAAGAGAGCCGTGCGTTTTTTTTGTTGTTGTTGCTGCTGCTGTTGTTGCAGGGGGGGGGGGCAACACCTAAAACGTCCATCTGCCTGTCGGCGAGCGCACGGCAGTGAGGGTGTCTGCCTCCCCACTCGGCACCGTCTCTCTCAATCCCTTCCGGGGATGGAGAGACGCAGGCCGAGGCTCCCGATACCGCGCGGGGGAAATTTTGAAACGTGGACGGCACGGCGGGGGTCCGGTGGTGGTGGGTGGGTAGGTCCAGGGGGTGAACGTCGGAGCCACGTTTGTGGCCAGCCACAGGGTAACGACGCCTTCTTCAGGCCCCGGAAGCGGGCAGCGCTGTCGCTCGAGGTAGGAGCTCCTGCTCACAACCTGACCGATGCCGGATGTAAATCTCCAGCGAAACGTGGGCACCCATTTGAACCTTTGCGAGATCGCTCTCCAATAATGCCGGCGATGCTGCTGCTGCTGCTTGAGCAGCAATAAATTATGCACGTTTTTGATTCACGTGGCACTTTTGTAACTGCTACTCCCTGACCCTCACCCACCAGCTACGACCAACCTCTATAACTACTATCACTACCCCTATCACTATCACTACCCTAACCCCTATCACTATCACGACCCCAACTCCTATAACTATCCCCATCACTATCCCAACCTCTATAACCACTATCAATATCACTGCCCCTATTACTGTCACTAACCCTATCACTACTCCAACCCCTATCACTGCCCCTACCACTATCACTACCCCAACCCCTATCACTGCCCCTACCACTATCACTACCCCAACCCCTATCACTACCCCAACTCCTATCACTGCCCCTACCTCTATGTAGCGTCTTTCTACGATAACCTTTATTTATCAGTATCAGAATATTTATACTTTAGGAGGAATCCGATGAGCTATAAAGCTCTTTTTCACAGATGTCCAGTCGGTTGCGGGTAAGAACGCTACAACAACAACACAAAGACACGATAGTCGTGCAAAGTACAAGCAAGGTAAACAAATCACCCAAACACGTAAACAAATACAACAACTAAACCATCCACATCCTACCAGGCAAAGCCCATCAAGGTATTAACTTATTTTTTAGAAACGACCTGGCCACAAATGATAGCTCAACAAAGTGGCCCCATCATTTGGACATTTATAGCACCAAAATCATCTAAATAATCTAACACAGCTTCAAACGTTATTGGAACATTTGGAAATCGTTGACACAATCTAAGTACATTGTTTCTGTGTGAAGTGAACGTCCAGGATCCCCTTGTCCGAACCAAGGATATTGAACAGGATGAGAGGTTCAGGCCATGGACTCCAAGGTACTGTGTGTAAAATATCAATGAGCAGGCATTACATAAGCTACCTTTTTGTGTACTTGAATGATTGTTACAATAAAAAGCATAGATTTGGCCTAAGTTGAAATATTTTTGTCATACATGGGGGTTGCATGTATGTGTGTGGACTGGAGATCATCGATTATCCATCGGCTTCAAGGAGGAGGGGGCTCCGGATGTTGAAAAACGCCGGATAATCACATCATCGTTATTTAAAATAGCTTATTTTTGCACGTTATTGTATGAAATTGAGTTTTCAGGTGTTGTTTTTTTGTGTTTTAAATTCGTTTACTATCTGCAATTAGCATGAAAAAATATAAAAAATAGACATAAATAACTCTCCTACTTTAAACAGTTACTGTATTTACTGTACCGTACTTACCACTCTAACTTCGAAGACTGCATCAGGGAGTGATGTATATACGTGCCGTATTTTAATTGTTTAAGTTTTATGTAGTGTATAATATACTGTATGTAATATTTAACACTGAAATCGAGCATAGCTACTTTCTTGATTTGAAGTTTTCGTGACTGCAGGAATCCATACTCTTTGGTTCTTTCAGTAAAGTCACGTAGGTAGAAAAATTAATAGATTGCGACGTTTCGATCGCAACACAAACGACCGTCTCACCTGAAGACGTCTCACCTGAAGACGTCTCACCTGAAGACGTCTCACCTGAAGACGTCTCACCTGAAGACGTCTCACCTGAAGACGGTTGCTTGTGTTGCGATCGAAACGTCCGTGATCTATTATTTTTTTCTACCTACGTGACTTTACCGAAAGTATCGAAGAGCATAGCTACCCTGTTTTGTCACGCACACGGTGCCGATCGCCGGACTGGTTACAGCATTTGGAGCGGTTTTGGAAGCCGGATAATCGCACGCCGGATAACCAATGATCAACTGTACGTTGAACTTCTTTCGCACCGCACGTAGCCGACCGCGGCAACCGGAGGTGCGATTTAAACCCAGAGGGCGCCGGCTAAAAGAAATCCCCGCGGCTTTCGGAGCGCCAACGAGACTCTGGCCGCTCCCTTACCGACGAGCAGAAGCAAGGGGTTGAACATTCCCAGCTTCGTCAGCTTGTTGATGTAGGCGACGAAGGGGTCGTGCTCGTTGCTCAGCGAGTTCACGTCGGCGCTGAACGCGGTGCTCGTGATCACGTCCATGCTGTACGCCCCCAGCAGCCTGCGGGTTGGGGAGGGGGTGAAAAACAAAAGACAAAGATGCCACCCACCCCCCCCCCCCCCCCCCGTGTATAGCCAGTGAGCCTTACTTGGTAAAAAAAAAAACCGAATAGTTTAGTTGAGAGTAGTGCAGTGAAGTATAATAATTATGGACAAATATCCCCCATGACCCATATGGGTGGTGGAGGGGTGATGGGGAGCCCTCATCCAGCAGTGGATTGACAGAAGAGCTGTGTATAGGAATTCCCTAAATAGGTTTCCGATATTGTAATCTGGCTGGGGGGTGATCAAATACACTAAAAATAAACAATTGTTTTTTTATTTTACCAGGTAAGGCCCACTGAGCTATATAGCTCTTATTCAGACGTGAAGTGGCCACAAATGATAGCTCAACAAAGTGGCTTATCACGTGGAAATGTAAAGCAACCAAATACAGTAAAACCTTGGACTGCGAGTATAATTCGTTCCGGAAACGTGTTTGCAATCCAAAGCACTCGTATATCAAAGCACTCGTATATCAGTTGTGATCACGTGACGCTCGGCAGTACAAAGAGTATACGTACTACTCGTATTGCAAGACCCTCGCTCGTTTATAAAAGTAATCGTTATGTATTAATTTATAAATAAATAAATAAATTGCTGTTTTGCAAGACCCTCGCTCGTCTTGCAAAACACTCGCAGACCAAGTTACTCGCAATCCAAGGTGTTACTGTACTCTAAACGTATGTTTATAATGTGGAGGGGAAAAACCGGAGGACCTGGAGAAAAATCCACGTGACCACAACGAGACAGACAACGCAAACTCCAAATATACAGCAGGCATCATGATCGGGATCGAACCCACGACCTCCTGAATACCAGGTAAGTTCAACCCCCAACCGGGAAAGCATCTCAACCCCCGCATCGGTCCATCTCGTGAGGGCTCCATTGTAGGGAGTCAACAGTGGTTGTGGACTATGGAAAGACTGGCCTCTTACCATAGCATCGTGGAATTTACACCGCTGCCCAAGGACGTAAGTGCTGCACAAAGCTTATTTGAGCACTTTGACTTGACTTGCAAAATTCAAATAATCATTTCAATATCGATTTGCATGCGCCGCAACTGAACACTGAACGTCAACTTACGTAAACGATTGGCACAGGACTGGGAAAAAAAAAACAGGCTATCCAAATATTGGCAAACGATATTTACATGTCTTCGTGAGTTTCACTGGTGACGTGTCAGCAATGCATGCTAATGCATCAATTTTACAATGTTTTCTTTAAACAACTTTATCTCGCCCACCGCATCACAGGCACATGACCAAGTGCCCGTAACCAAGTTGCTTTCTGAAATTTCAATTAAGCGCTTGGCAAGGAGAGGCTACGTAATGGCAAAGGTGCAGCCCTGCAATTGCTTACTCGTGGCACTGCTGGCTGAGTCAGCATCCACGAAGTGCATGCCTACAGAGGGGTATTTGGTCTCCTCTACGGAAGTAAACTATTAAACCATGTGTTATTCTACCAGGTGAGGCCCACTGAGCTGTACAATTCTTTTTTAGAAGCAACCTGGCTATCACAAATTATAGCTCAATGAAGTGGCTCATCGTGTGGTCATTTATTGCAGCCAAATACTCTAAATGCATGCTTACGAATGAGGGAAAAACCGGAAGACCCGGAGAAAAATTCACGTGACCACGGGGCAGAACATGCAAACTCCAAAAATACAGGTGTCAGGGTCGAACCCACAACCTCCTCCATACCAGGCGAGGTAGTTAACATCTTGCCACCGTCACACACCTACCACGTTGACCAGACGTGTGGAGAGAGTTGGGCATACCTAAATTTTACCCCACCACACGCGGCTTGCCGATCGGCTGCGGTGAACACTGCTGGGTGAGGGGGGGGATTTGAGAAATGTGCGCCATCGTTTCAACTGCCGCGCCGGGAGAAAGAAAATCGAATCGCCGACCTCTGGATTGTGAGCCCAGCACACTAAACCATTTCACCACCGCTGTGGCGACCTCCCATAGAGGCCCGGGGAGCTTGAACTCCTCGAATTCACTCACTTCTTTGCATCGAAGCTTTGGCCGGCGTTACACTTCAACTCTGCCTGCTGCACGAGCAGGTCGCCATAGTGCTTGACGATGGGGAATACCTGAAGGAAGACCGAAAAAATTGGTGGCAGCAGCACGTCAGGGGGCCGATTCTTCCGCCGATGAAGACGCAGAGAGAGAGAGACGTAGACCTGCATGCAGTTTGCCCGCTTAAATAAACACTTTCTTGAAAAACAGCGGTCCAGAAGGCACATAGCTTGTTGGAGAAAAATGTTCACAAGCATATGTATATACAGGGACTCCTCTACGTATGAACGAGTTAGGTTTCAGGGATCTGTTGGTAAGTCGATGTGTTCGTAAGTCCAACTTACTATCGATTCCAAACATGTTCTATGGCGTGTACACTAAACACATGGAATGGCTTTAAAAGTTGTATAACCTCCTGTAGATGTAGATGCCACTGGTTCTTCATGTTCTGCAAATGTAGATGTCACCACCACCATTGCCCGACGGTGGAACTTACAACTCTCGATCCGAACAGGCAACTGGACTTACGGACAGATTTGTTCGTATCTCTGAAAGTTCGTACGTGGAATGTTCGTAAGTAGAGGAGTCCCTGTATGCTGAACTTCTTTCGCACCGTGCATAGCCGGCCGTGCTGATCGGAGTTGCGGGGGAAGGACGACAAACTGTGCACGATGGATTGAAAAAGAGCGCATGGCTCAGGCGAGACAGACCTTAGACCCTTGTCTCTGCGTAACGAGCGATTTGTTACAAACTCTCCACAACGTTAGCGCACAACGGGCGTCCTGCGAGTTGACAGCACCACACAAGAAAGTTAACACGTTCTATAGGTAGCAGTATTTGTTCGGCGTTTTAAAATAGATTTCCCAAACCTCTCCCCCCCCCCCCGTCACAAATGTCTGACCCCCCCCCACCCCCCCTCTAGGTGCGTGACGTCATTTATGGACGTCCCCATACGTACATACGTGTGCATTGCTTGGGTTTGCTGTGCGGGTGGCATGGCCATAATCGCACGCACTGCTGTGGCATGTCATTAATTGCCCATTCATGAAGGAGGTGTGGCCCCATGGGTAAGCCCTGACAGCTTATCAACCGCAGCAGCCTACACACAACACTTGTTTTATGCACGTTAGTTGCCAATGCAAGTGCTTAATCCTCCGACTCAGACTTTATTATTTCAGCCTGTGAGGCCAATTATTGTTGAGCTATGAGCAGCTCTGCTGCAAGGGTGACCACCGCCCAAGACCCATCAGCAGTGGCGGCAATTACAGGAAATCATTGCAGGGTGGGAATATGCAAACTATACAAATCCAGGCTCAAACCTGCTTTGCTGTCGAGATCTGATGAGGCTGTACGAATTCCGGGTGATTCGATTCCAGGCGGGTGTCCTTGGTAAAGTTGTTTTGTGGTGTCATTTTTTTTTTCCACAGCCCTGCCTTCGCTTCAACTGTTGTCATTGTTTCTCTCTCATCTGCAGATATTCAATGTGGCCCTACAATTTCTTCAAGCGGCTCAATATACCTACGCCCAGACCACATCCTTTCATTGGCACCTTCCTTGAGTACAGAAAGGTAATTGTAACATTTAAACGTAAAATAATCCGTAAAGTTTCTTTTTGGGTTAGATCGCATAAATGTATCGTTAAACTTGACACAGCCAATTACAGTAAGACCTTGGATTGCAAGTAACTTGGTCTGCGAGTGTTTTGCAAGACGAGCAAAAATTTTAAATAAACATTAATTTGATAAACGAGCGAGGGTCTTGCAATACGAGTAGTACGTATACGCTTTGTACTGCCGAGCGCCACGTGATCACAACTGATATACAACAAGTGCTTTTATATACGAGTGCTTTGGATTGCAAACACGTTTCCAGAACGAATTATGCTCGCAATCCAAGGTTTTACTGTACTTATACCACCACACAATATTATACGTATATATTCGATCACGGGGCTTGTTTTGACTATACTTCACAATGATGGTCAGTGTAAGTTGGAGAAGGGGGCGGGGGAGATGGGAGGGGAGGTGACCCAGGCCTGGTTCAAATAGTTGACACTGGTGTGAGGCACGGCGAGGCCTTCATCCAGCAGTGGATAGGTAAAGGGCTGTGTATAAAAATCACTGCGAGTCAGTCTGTTCTCCGGCGCTACGCGATGGGTGTATTTTCAGCAAACGCAAAAGGTATACATGGGGGTTGCAAGTGCTACAAGATCAAATTTTCACATTTTTAAACAAGGAAACATTAATTGATTGATTAAAATGTGTCACTGCGGAGGGTCCCCTTGAGATGGAACGCCTCGTTTGCAAGAGCGCCCCACATTGTCGACTGACACGCGCGCGGCAAATGCGCGGCGACACACACCGTATACACAGACGTTTTAAAACTGTCAACTTGTGCGGTAAACGTATTTGACATGATACAAATTATCCGGTGATTCTGCTGCTGCTGCCGCATTCAAGGCGGTCGTGCACACAAGCACAGTTATCAACGACAACTTAGCACGTTAGTCAATAACACCGTGACCTTAAAAGGAAACGTATATAAAGAGGCACATTTTTTTACGTGCTATGAAGTAGGCCCATTGCCCGGAACGTCACCTGAAAGAAACACCGCCTGTTATGTATATATGTTTTTTTTTTACTTTTAAAGCTGTCAGTTGCACAAATCATAATCTTTATTTATGCTGGAGAAATCCGATGAGCTACGAAGCTCTTTTTCGGAAGATGTCCAGTCGGTGGCGGGTTTCCAAATGAGTGGCACTCACCACCGGTTCGTATGGAATCTTCTATCGGCCCCTAAGAGTTGCAACAGCACGTCGCAACGCTGCGCACCCATTGCATCAGCACTACATCTCACACCGCCAAGCGCACCTTTCAAAATTAACCACTTCCTACAGAACTCCTCTCAATTGCGGGCCTATTATCCGCGACTCCTATTTATCCAGTAACAGCTGCAGGGTCTGCGTGAAACTCCTATAATCAGCGGGCCCGTATTCTTCCTATGATCCGCGATTATCCGTAACGTTTCCCCATAAGTCTGACCGGAATGGCATTCTATCATCCGCACTTTTTTCCCGTCTAGACAAATTCATCCTGTTATCTCCGCGGGGGTGAATCACTGCCTGGTTATTTTTTGTTATTTAAAAAAATATATATCAGTCGTTGCCTCCTTATTCTTGGTGGAGAGAGTAACTGACGTTGGCTACCCACCGTGTAAAGATAAAATATGTAAAATTGTTGAATCGATATATTGCGGTCAATGATAGCGTCTCGAGTGGCTGCTGGGGGCGGGCGGGCGGGCGGGCGAGGTGACACGAGCCCATCACGTACGACGAATACAAAACGGCGGCGATTCTCGCGCACAGAACTTGCCGGCGCGCGTGCCGCGAGCTTCCGAATGCGAACACGCGCTCCAGTCTTTACCTCCTTGAGTTTCCCCGTGCTGAACACGGGGCTGAGCACGCTCCGAATTCGCTTCCACTTCTCGTCCTCCACCACGGTGAGGGCGTCGTTGAGAGGCCCGTTGAGCTGAAAGTTCTGGGAACACAGCGGAAGGCGGCCAAAAAGGTTTGCATAATGGATAGGGGTGCCGCGGTGACGGGATGTTAACTACGTCGCCCGGTATACAGGAGGTCGTGGGTTTGATCCTGACCCTGCCGCCTGCTGGAGTTTGCGTGTCTCTGTCTCCCCGTGGTCGCGTAGATTTTTCTCCGGGTCCTCCGTTTTTTTTCCCTACACATTTCGAAAGCCTGTGTTTAGATTATTTGGCTGCTTTAAATTTCCACCTGATAATCCACTTTGTTGAGCTATGTAGCTCAATGGGCATTACGTGGTAAAATAATAATAGCTTAGTTTTAGATTTTCACGTGTCATCTCTTGGACTACTCCAGTCTCCCAGCGACCCGGAAAATATTATTGGAGAGATTAAGCTCTGTGGTTGTGTTCGCACGTGAAAGTCGCAGCGAAAAGCAAAATGGTACAGAAATTTCTGATACAAATGCCCACTCTGATCAATGTGTCTTCTGATATCAAAGCCCCCTTTCCCCCCCTCCCTCCCCCACTGACTCAGCAGCTAGGGCATATCTTTGCTTGGCTAGTAACATAACTGGAAGTAAGCTGATAGACAAGCAGAACATTCTTACAGCTACCAGATATTCCGGATTGGCTATGCAATCGAAGTGGATGGGGGATGAATGGGGGCGAAGAAGGGGCTCCCAGCTGATCATGCTTCATAACTCATTTGTGAAAAAAAGAGCTTTACAGCTCATAGGATTCCTACAGTATAAATATTCAGATTCCGATTCCTGGTCGTTGAGCCTCCCAGAAATGCCGTAGATTTTTTTTACGAACTCTCCACGTGAATGTTGAGGCTGACCCTGCGGTTGGTGAAGGTGCTGTAGCAGTCTTTGACCAGGATGGTCTTGTAGAGGCTTGGGTCAGCCACCATCAGGACCGGCGACCTGCCATCGTAAATCCTATAAAAAAAAAACATTGAAATAAAGTGCTTAGCCAAGGATATATTTTTTTTTACAGCTGTTCCCTTTTCCAACTGACAGCATTTTATTTCGTGTTAAGTAAAAGGCATGAATATTGACCGTCGCTTGTCGCATTAGTATGACATGAGCAGGCGATTTGGCCAGCCGCTGCAAATGTGTGCGCACGGCCGGGTCTGCATTGAACAAGGGTACAGTAAAATATTGATTTGAAAAGCGTTTGAATGAGACCACACAGCGGGCCATATTTCATGCCAGCCACATGCCCCTCCGCACAAGACTAATGATACACACAGCGGTGCGAACGGTGGATTTCCACTCTGAATTTGCGACAATGCGGTTCTGTTCTATCACAGCAAAGAAGCATGGTTGCCCTGAGGGGTGGGGGGGGGGGCATGGGAACGATTTTGAAATTACGTGAGCAAGCAATCATGCCTTGTAGCCGAGGAGGACCCTCATCAAGGCGCAATGGGGTCCCATGAAGGTCATTAATTTAAGTTCGCAGAAAAAAAAGTCTTACCCTCCCATCCAAAGGTTGGATGTGGCTGTTGCTGACCCTCTCCCTTCCTACCCCACCCAACACGTGTTCGTTTTGACAATAAACGTGCAGTAAAGAGTGCAAAGGTGGAGTCCCGCAGTTGCTTTTCTCATGGCACAGCTGGCAGAAGAGCCTCTACTAGTGGGAGCCCTAGAGAGCCCTGCTAGTCCAGAGGGTGTGTTTGGCCTACTCTTCCACGTTGGCCAGACGCTTTGGAGGAGGTGGGAGCACCCACACTTTACTCCACCACACGTGACCTGCCAATCGATAACTAAGTGTGGTGTAACCCATATGCTGTACACTGCTGTGTGTGCGTACCGAGGCCGGGAGGTCTAAGAAGCTTGCACCGTCGATTCAATCGCCGTGCCGGGAGATCGAATCGAACTGGCGACCTCCGGATTGCAAGTCCAGTGTGATGACCTTTACACTACAGAGGCATTGCGAGATGTTAACTACTTCGCCTGATATACAGGAGGTCGTGGTTTCAATCCCGACCCTAACGCCTGCTGTATATTTAGAGTTTGCGTGTTCTCCCCGTGGTTGCGTGGATTTTTCTCTGGGTTCTCCGGGTTTTTCCCTTTACATTTAGAATCAACATCACGCGTTTAGAGTGATTGGCTGCGATAAATATTCAGGTGATGATAAGCCACTCCGTTGAGCTATTATTAGTGATAGCCAGGTTCCTTCTGGAAAAGAGCTATATAGCAGCTCAGTCGGCCTCACCTGGTGAAATACAAAAAAAAGTTTAGATTTTAATAGTTCTACAGTGCTTGGTTTGAGGTCTGTTTTGTAGATGCAGTGCAGTTTAAAGACCCACACACACGTATATGCACATTGGAGTGGAGTATTCTATACATGCGGGCCAGTGGCTGTGTGCTTAAAAGTAAGAAAAAACTCACCCCCAAATCTTCCCGAATTTCTCCCGGCACTCCATGTCAAAGTTGAACCAGCCCTGGCGGCGTAAAAAAGAATAAAACACACGCCATCGAAGTGTCGACGCCGCTGCGGTAATGTGGCGAGAGGCAGGGGCGGAACCAGGATTTTGACTTTGGGGGGGCTGACTTCAATATTCTAAGATATCCAGTGTATCTTTTCCAATAGGCGCCACAAATGTATAAAACACATTTTATTGGATTTGAACGCGGAGTTTATTAATAGGTCGGAGCCGCTGATGTGGCTAGTAAGTTCGAAAGGCTGCCGCTCAAGCAGCCTGCAGGGCAGCACACAAGGTGGCAGCCTGCAGGGCAGCACAAGGTGGCAGCACAAGGTGGCAGCCTGCAGGGTAGCACAAGGTGGCAGCCAGCATTTTGCAGCAGCCGGATATACGGTTATCCCGATTACCCAAAATTTCAGGGGGGCTAAGCCCCCCCCAGCCCCCCCTTTGGCTCCGCCCCTAGCGAGAGGTAAACAGTGTAAATACCGTGAAGACGACATGATGAACACTACGTCCATTTAAGACTGGAGCAGCATTTTTCATGATTCTGGCAAATCTCCTAATGAAGCCGGTTGTTGTGATCACCGGCTGTGCCGTCGCGGCAATCGAATTGCAAATGCTGTGGGTTTACTTCCCAACACAAACTGGTGTGCTGAAGCAGAAACGAATTGGCACGTTTTGTTAACGTGACAAACCTTACTACAGTAAAACCTTGGATTGTGAGCATAATTCTTTCCAGAAACGTGTTTGTAATCCAAAGCACTCATATATCAAAGCACTCATATATCAGTTGTGATCACGTGACGCTCGGCAGACAAAGCGTATACGTACTACTCGTATTGCAAGACCCTCGCTCGTTTATCAAATTAATATTTATTTAAAATTTTTGCTCGTCTTGCAAAACACTCGCAGGCCAAGTTACTCGCAATCCAAGGTCTTACTGTAATTGGCTGTGTCAAGTTTAACGACGCATTTATGCGATCTAACCCAAAAAAAAACTTTACGGATTATTTTACGTTTAAATGTTACAATTACCTTTCTGTACTCAAGGAAGGTGCCAATGAAAGGATATGGTCTGGGCGTAGGTATATTGAGCCGCTTGAAGAAATTGTAGGGCCACATTGAATATCTGCAGATGAGAGAGAAACAATGACAACAGTTGAAGCGAAGGCAGGGCTGTGGAAAAAAAATGACACCACAAAACAACTTTACCAAGGACACCCGCCTGGAATCGAATCACCCGAAATTCGTACAGCCTCATCAGATCTCGACAGCAAAGCAGGTTTGAGCCTGGATTTGTATAGTTTGCATATTCCCACCCTGCAATGATTTCCTGTAATTGCCGCCACTGCTGATGGGTCTTGGGCAGTGGTCACCCTTGCAGCAGAGCTGCTTATAGCTCAATAATTGGCCTCACAGGCTGAAATAATAAAGTCTGAGTCGGAGGATTAAGCACTTGCATTGGCAACTAACGTGTATAAAACAAGTGTTGTGTGTAGGCTGCTGCGGTTGATAAGCTGTCAGGGCTTGCCCATGGGGCCACACCTCCTTCATGAATGGGCAATTAATGACATGCCACAGCAGTGCGTGCGATTATGGCCATGCCACCCGCACAGCAAACCCAAGCAATGCACACGTATGTACGTATGGGGACGTCCATAAACGACGTCACGCACCTGGGGGGGGTGGGGGTCAGACATTTGTGACGGGGGGGGGTTTGATAAATGTGACGTCACATCAAAAAGCGCAACTTTAAATAAATATAGAATTGTTATAACAACACTCCTACAACATCAGAGTGGAGCGCCACATTAAATATGCACTACAATGACAATAGTTTAAAGCGATTTGAAGCAGGTTTTACTTTCAAAATGGAAATATGGTTTTGGGGGGAGGTGGGGGGCAGAGCTTTGTGACGTCATATTTGAGGGGGGTCTGACTTTTTATGACGCCGTGTGACGAGGGGGGGGAGTAAAAAATCGTCCAAAATCGCGTGACGTCATTTATGGACGGCCCTTATAGTCAGCGCCGCGCTCGTTAATAACGAAACAAGAATTTCAAATATCTCCCCAAGAAAAACAAATCTTGAGATCGTTGCAGCCGGCATTGTCCGTCACCGAGAAACAACGCCTGCGTCGTGCGCGTACCCAACCGTTGTACTGCACTTCCCATGCGTCCGAACGCCATCGCAAAGAAGACGCAAGACTCACGTGGCCATGAGAACCAGTAGCGTGGCGACGAGGACCCACGTTTCGGCGGAGAGGCCCCATAACCAAGGGTCACCCATGGCGTTTGTTTTTGCCTCCTTCACTGCAGAAACCTCCCTACCTGTGGGGTGCACACAGTCAATGATGAATGGTGGTTAACAGGTTAACAGGTCCCTCTCTGTGTGTCTGTGTGTACGTGGGGAGCGGTAGTGCAGCGGTTAGCGCACCGCACTGCGAACCCGGCGGCCGATTCCCGCTCAAGGCCAACGCCAATGACGATTATGTGAACCGGTTCTGGGCCACCCCTAGGTAGACTCTGGGGAGATAAAGGCGCCCCGGACGTGGTTGTTGGCCACCCAATTCCTCGTGTGCCGTTCCGGCCTTCATAGGTGGTACTCGCTAACAGCACGTGTTAAGGCTATACGGGGGATCTTTGTCTTTGTGCCCGTGTGCCACTGTTTTGTCGTGTGTGTGTGCAGCAAGGCCGTAGCCATGGAGTCAATATTGGGGGGTCCCCCCCCCCCCCCCAGAAAAATAAATAAATTTGAAAACAAATTTACTGCCTAAAATATAAAAAAATTCACTACCACATAGGATGGATTTTTTTTACAATAATGTCTAATAGTGTATTGTATTACATTGCTCTGTTTTTTATTTTATTTTTACCTTTTCTTGTTTCATTGTATGTCATGGCAGAGATTAGTGATTCATAAAGTACAACCATGACCACAATCATATAAACAGAAATCTATTTTATAGCAATATATTGGGGGGGGGGGGGGGCATTTTGAGCATATTTGAATATTGGGGGGGATGTGTGTCCCCCCCCCAATATACATTATAATTACAGCCTTGGTATGCAGTGCTATAGGTAGCTGGATGTGTGCACAAGCTTTGTTGTGTCTACCCGTGTGCTGATGTTTTGTTATGTATCTGTGCCCTGTCGTGTGGTAGTGCAGTGCTGTGGTTATGCGTGTGTGTTGATGTTTGTGTGGTAGTGCAGTGCTGTGGTTATGCGTGCGTGTTGATGTGTGTGTGTGGTAGTGCAGTGCTGTGGTTATGTTTGTGTGTTGATGTGTGTGTCTGCAGTGCTGTGGTTATGCGTGTGTGTTGATGTGTGTGTAGTGTTGTGGTTATGTCTGTGTGTTGATGTGTGTGTGTGTAGTGCTGTAGTTATGCCTGTGTGTTTATGTGTGTGGTAGTGCAGTGCTGTGGTTATACCTGTGTGTTGATGTTTGTGTGGTAGTGCATGGCTGTGGTTATGCCTGTGTGTTGATGTTTAGGTACAGTGCTGTGGTTATGCGTGTGTGTTGATGTTTAGGTACAGTGCTGTGGTTATGCGTGTGTGTTGATGTGTGTGTGGTAGTGCAGTGCTGTGGTTATGTTTGTGTGTTGATGTTTGTGTGTCTACAGTGCTGTGGTTATGCGTGTGTGTTGATGTTTGTGTGGTAGTGCAGTACTGTGGTTATATTTGTGTGTTGATGTTTGTGTGTCTACAGTGCTGTGGTTATGCGTGTGTGTTGATGTTTGTGTGGTAGTGCAGTGCTGTTGTTATTTCTGTGTGTTGATGTGTGTGTGTAGTGCTGTGGTTATGCCTGTGTGTTGATGTGTGTGTGGTAGTGTAGTGCTGTGGTTATGTCTGTGTGTTGATGTTTGTGTGGTAGTGTAGTGCTGTGGTTATGCCTGTGTTGATGTGTGTGTAGTATTGTGGTTATGTCTGTGTGTTGATGTGTGTGTGTGTAGTACTGTAGTTATGCCTGTGTGTTGATGTGTGTGGTAGTGCAGTGCTGTGGTTATGCCTGTGTGTTGATGTTTGTGTGGTAGTGTAGTGCTGTAGTTATGCGTGTGTGTTGATGTGTGTGTGGTAGTGTAGTGCTGTGGTTATGCCTGTGTGTTGATTTTTGTGTGTCTGCAGTGCTGTGGTTATGCCTGTGTGTTGATGTGTGTGTGGTAGTGTAGTGCTGTGGTTATGTCTGTCTGTTGATGTTTGTGTGGTAGTGTAGTGCTGTGGTTATGCCTGTGTTGATGTGTGTGTAGTATTGTGGTTATGTCTGTGTGTTGATGTGTGTGGTAGTGCAGTGCTGTGGTTATGCCTGTGTGTTGATGTTTAGGTACAGTGCTGTGGTTATGCGTGTGTGTTGATGTGTGTGTGTGTAGTGCTGTAGTTATGCCTGTGTTGATATTTGTGTGTGCAGTGCTGTGGTTATGCGTGTGTGTTGATGTTTAGGTACAGTGGTGTGGTTATGCGTGTGTGTTGATGTTTAGGTACAGTGCTGTGGTTATGCGTGTGTGTTGATGTTTAAGTACAGTGTTGTAGTTATGCGTGTGTTGATGTTTAGGTACAGTGCTGTGGTTATGCGTGTGTGTTGATGTTTAGGTACAGTGCTGTGGTTATGCGTGTGTGTTGATGTTTAAGTACAGTGTTGTAGTTATGCGTGTGTTGATGTTTAAGTACAGTGCTGTGGTTATGCGTGTGTTGATGTTTAGGTACAGTGCTGTGGTTATGCGTGTGTGTTGATGTTTAGGTACAGTGCTGTGGTTAAGCGTGTGTGTTGATGTGCATGTGTGTACAGTGCTGTGGTTATGTGTGTGTGTTGTTTAGGTACAGTGCTGTGGTTAAGCGTGTGTGTTGATGTGCGCGCGTGTGTGTACAGTGCTGTGGTTATGTGTGTGTTGATGTTTAGGTACAGTGCTATGGTTATGCGTGTGTGTTGATGTGCATGTGTGTACAGTGCTGTGGTTATGTGTGTTGATGTTTAGGTACAGTGCTGTGGTTAAGCGTGTGTGTTGATGTGCGCGTGTGTGTGTACAGTGTCAGTGGTTACGTGCGCGTGTCTTACTCTCCTTAATGTAGTTGTGCATACCGGCCAAACTCCCCTTATCAGCGCCTTGAACTTATTACGGAACAATTGGGGAGACATTGTTCACCACGTGCCCCCTTATAAACCTCAAGGCCAATCCTACAAAGTCCCCGTCACGAGGAGAGAGAGAGAAACACAATCGAAAATGAGCAAAGGGACTTCACCTTTGCGCATTTAAGAACACTCTTTGGTTCTATTCGGTAACGTCACGTAGGTAAAAAAATAAAACAACAAAAAATCACGACGTTGCGGCCACAACACAAGCGGCCCTCATCAGGTGAAGGGACCGGGCTGTCTCTGATGAGGGCCGCTTGTGTTGTGGCCGAAACGTCGTGATTTTTTTTGTTGTTTAATTTTTTTTTACCTACGCGACTTTACCGAATAGAACCAAAGAGCGTGGATTCCTTGCAGTCACGAAAGCTTCAAATCTAGAAACACGGGGCGAAGCGATACGTACGTAGGTAGGTTTTGACGGCTGTTTGACGGCTGTTTGACAGCTGTTTGTTCTGAGCTGTCTTACCTGAGGGGACGCCGGGCTACCTGTTGCCGATGTGCGCACGTGGTTTTGCCGATGCGCCTCACACGTCGTGGTCACGTTGCACGCCTTCGCTGCGTCCTTCCGCTACGCGAGCCAAGACCGCGGACTTCTTTCCGACCCTCCTCCTCCTCCTGCTCCTCGTCCTCCTCCCCTACTTAGGGGGCCGTACATATATGACGTCACGCGGTTTTGGAGGATTTTTTTGACCCCCCCCCCTCTCTCTCTTCCTTCGTCACGCGGCGTCACGAAAAGTCAGACCCCCGCCCCCCCCACCTCCCTCAAATATGACGTCACAAAGCTCTGCCCCCTCCCCTCCCCCCCTCCCTTAAAACCATATTTTATTTTTTATATTCTTGTTTTTTTTCGGTAAAGTCACGTAGAAAGGAAACAATAAAATAATAAAAATATAAAACAAGAATATGAATCACTGCAGTCACGAAAGCTTTAAATCATATTTTCATGTTTGAAAATAAAACCTGCTTCAAATCGCTTTAAACTATTGTCATTGTAGTGCGTATTTAATGTGGCGCTGCACTCTGATGTTGTAGGAGTGTTGTTATAACAATTAGTATTGTTATAATAACAATTCTATATTTATATTCTTGGTTCTTTCGGTAAAGTCACGTAGAAGGGAAACAATTAAAATTATAAAACAATAAAATTATTGTTTTCTATTTTTATTATTTTGATTTATTATTTTATTGTTTCCCTTCTACGTGGTGACTTTACCGAAAGAACCAAGAATATGAATCCCTGCAGTCACGAAAGCTCTAAATCAAAAGATAATTATATATTTATTTAAAGTTGCGCATTTTGATGTGACGTCACATTTCTCAAACCCCTCCCCCTCGTCACACATCGTCACGAATGTCTGACCCCCCTCCCCCCCCTAAGTGCGTGACGTCATTTATGGAGGGCCCCCTACTTACACCCTCCCCCACCACTGACCCTGCCTGCCAAAGCGACCTTCAAACAGGAACTTCTTCCCTCCTGACGCGCGACTCGTTGCGTTACAGAGAGGACGTGGAATTGCTGGGTGAAAGTTGGGTGAACGTTGGCTCAACGTTGGGTGAACGTCGGTCCAACGTTGGCGCCAAACGTTGGTTCTCAACCACGCACTGGCGGCGTGTTTTTGCTGGGACCCTGCCTGCGCAGTTTGTAAGAAGAAAAAAAACATCTATATAATTGTCTTAGATGTGGAGAAATTATACTGGTAGGAACGAAGTTGTAAACTGAGTGTACCAGCCTGCAATGGATGCGTGTACCAGCCTGCAATAGATTAATGTGTCCGTCCGTCCGTCCCCTTTCAATACTTTAACGAAGTGAAATCTCGTGCTGTTGGGTGTAAAATCAGCAATAGACAGCGCAGAGACTTGTCCTACCAGCCCACCCTGCAGGGACCTGTTATGTAACAAAGAAAATGAGCAGATGAATAATGTTGAACACACCCCATCAGCCACCCATCTATCAAGCAAAACTCTGCACCGGTTTTCGACATTAAGTGGCTCTTTTCGATTTAAAGCTTTCGTGACTGCAAGGATTCATCTTCTTTGGTTCTTTCGGTAAAGTCACGTAGAATGAGAATAAAATAATAAATTGATAAAATAAGCTCTGTCGTCCCGACAGGTCTGTTCCTTTCACCTGAAGAAGGCCACTTGTGTTGTGGCCGAAACGTCGTGAGAATTTCATTGTGTTATTTTATTTTATCAATTTACTATTTTATTCTCATTCTACGTGACTTTACCGAAAGAGCCAAAGAAGATTAAGCGTCTCATAAAGCCGTTCAGGCGTGCTTTAATCAGTATTGGTTCAAGCAAAACCCGATCCGAGCATTGAAGCAATGCAAGGAAGCTCAACCCTGCTGATGAAGACGGAAGCGGCCGATCTTGAAAGCTCAGAAGGATTTTTAAAGCTTGCTAAGTGCTCGAAGAAACAGGCGTCACAGGTTGCTGTGTCGTTGATCGGCGTGCAGCGGAGGACATCGCAGCAACGTCTGTTGTTGCACTCTACCGCATATGGAGCCGTCCATAAATGACGTCACGCGATTTTTGGACGATTTTTGACCCCCTCCGACCTCGTCACACGGCGTCACAAAAAGTCAGATCCCCCCCCTCAAATATGACGTCACAAAGCTCTGCCCCCCCCCCAAAAAAAATGCTTCAAATCGCTTTAAACTATTGTCATTATAGTGCGTATTTAATGTGGCGCTGCACTCTGATGTTGTAGGAGAAAACATTTATTAAAAAGTCTATTTAATCAAGTAGAACGTTTTGATTTAAAGCTTTCGTGACTGCAGGGATTCATATTCTTGGTTCTTTCGGTAAAGTCATGTAGAAGGGAAACAATAAATAATAAAAATGTAAAACAATAAAATTCTCACGACGTTTCGACTGCAACACAAGCAATCATTTTCTTGCTGTGGTTTTCACACCTGATGATGATTGCTTGTGTTGCAGTCGAAACGTCGTGATAATTTTATTGTTTCATATTTTTAGCATTTTATTGTTTCCCTTCTACGTGACTTTACCGAAAGCACCAAGAATATAAGTAGAACGTGTTGCCTATATCTATTTAAAGTTGCGCATTTTGATGTGACGTCACATTTCTCACCCCCCCCCCTTGTCACACATTGTCACAAATGTCTGACCCCCCCCCCCCCCCAGGTGGGTGACGTCATTTATGGACGGCCCCTATGCTTCCACGTCCAGAAGTTAAGATGAGTTTGGTAAACATGGAGCATTCGTCTACCAGTGAGTGGGTGGCGATGATTACTGATGCAGCTGCGTGTAAACCAATCTCAATTGAGTCTGACAAAAGAAGGTCCCATGTAGCTACTCACCCCGAGCTAAAATTGCTCTGATTGTGCATTACAATGTGTAGCATTTTTTTTGTTCCTGGGTAGTAAGTGTTGTTTCTTAATTGCTTATGCCTCAAAAGTACAGAAGATGGCTATCATTCCCCAGAAACTTTGCTTTTGTGACCAGGACAGTGATATTTTGAAATTTACCTATTTTCAATGAGAAAACTGGCAAATTGGAGTCTTTTCGTTCACATAAAGTCAGAAAAACAAAAACATACGAATCAAAATTAACATGTATTTATACTAAAGTAATACAAAAATGACTACAAAAGATTTAGACACCAAGGCGCACTACCACAGGCGGGACTGGCCACAGCGGACCGAGTTCTCTGTGGGGGAGGAACAACGTCAAGTGGGAGCCACTGGTGGACCCCCGGAAGGTGCTGATGCCACCACTGCACATCAAATTGGGTCTCATCAAGGCCGTAATATGCAAATATGCTCAAAATGTCTCCCCCCAATATATTGCAATAAAATAGATTTCTGTTAATATGATTGTGGTTATGGTCGTACTTTATTAATCCCTAATCTCTGCCCTTACATACAGTGAAACGAGAATTAAAAAAACTGAGCAATGTATTACAATACACTCTTAGACAATATTGTAAAAAAAAAAATTCCATCCCTTGTGTTAGTGAATTTTTTTTTATATTAATGGCAGGAAATTTGTTTTAAAATTAAGATTTTTTTTCTGGCGGGGGGCACTCCCTGGAGGATTTGGTCCCCCCCCCCACAATGTTGACTCCATGGCTACGGCCTTGGTGCACACTATAGGAAATTTAAATAAATCACTTTAAAAAAACCATACAAATAAAACTAAAAATGTTTAATCTCTGCCATTACATACAATGAAACAAGAAAAGGTAAAAAAGTAAAAACAGAGCAATGTAATACAATACACTATTGGACATTATTGTAAAAAATAGATTTAAAAAGTCCACCCTCTGTGTTAGTGATTTTTTTTTATTTTAGGCAGGAAATGGCAGGAAATTCGTTTTCAAATTTGGATTTTTTCTGGGGGTGGACCCCCAGACCCCCTGGAAGATTTGGCCCCCCCCAATGTTGACTCCATGGCTACGGCCTTGGGTCTTATGAAACAATTTGTTAGAGCTGTAGATAAGGAGTCGGCAGCCTTAAAGTACCTTCAAGACTTATTCCCTAAGCTGTCTGAGGCAAAGGTCAAAGCCGGTGTCTTGGTTGGACCACAGATAAAGAAGATCCTGGATAGCAATGAATTCCCCAAGAAGCTCACTAGTAAGGAGAACAGCTTTGTCGCAGTGGTTCGTGGCTTCCTGGGCCATCACAAGGTCGAAAACTACGTGGGGCTGGTTGAGACTCTGGTGAAGAACTATGGCACAATGGGCTGTAGGATGTCCCTCAAAGTCCATATCCTTGATGCTCATCTTGATCAATTCAAGGAGAACATGGGAGCGTACTCGGAGGAGCAAGGCGAGCACTTCCACCAGGATATACTGGACTTTGAACGCCGCTACCAAGGACAGTATAACGAGTACATGATGGGAGACTACATTTGGGGGCTGACTCGTGAAAGTGATTTACAGTATAATAGAAAATCTCGAAAAACTACTCACTTCTAAATCTTTTGTAGTCATGTTTGTATTACTTTAGTATAAAACATGTTAATTTTGATTTATATGTTGTTTTCTTCTGATTTTATGTGAACGAAAAGACACAAATTCGCCCATTTACTCATTGAAAATAGGTACATTTCAAACTATCACTGTTCTGGTCACAAAAGCAAAGTTTGTGGGGAATAATAGCCATTTTCTGTATTTTTTAGACATAAGCGATTACGAAATAACACTACCCAGGAACAAAAATTGTGTTACGTAATGTTATCTTTGTACTGTTCGCCTTTTGGTGTTGTTCTCTGGTCTGACACTGGTGTAGACTAGGCCCTAAAGAAGGCTGTCTCTGGTGTAGACCAATCAGTTTCAAAGACAATGCATATACATTATCAGAGCGTGTTTTTTTGGTTTGTTTGCACGTTCACCACAAGTACATGTGGTTAATGCGGACATGATTCCTCGCAAAAGGTTCCTACTTGCTGTTTGAACATATTAACACCTGCTGTTTTATTGCCAGAAAGTATGCAGAGTTTTTTTTTTCGATCGAGTTTGTATTTTGCGTGGCAAGTTTGGACTTTCCCACCCCACCACCACCGTGGCACAGAGTGGCCTTAACTCCCGCGAGCGACGTCAGGGGAGGTCTTTAACATCCACCGTGAAACACACCGCCCTGCATTGACCAGCTCGGTGAGGTATGGTCAACAACAACAACGACAACAACCC